ACAACAACATAAACTCCCTCGGTCGACTGCACGAATGTGAAGACTAGTATTATGCGCTGAATTATGGGTTCTACTTAAGGTGGATTTACACAACACAATGTTCCGTTTTATATATTTTAATGTTAATCTTTCTTAGTGGAATACCACAAATAATATATAACATATACACAGGTTATCCTTATGTTAACAAATAGATATTAAAAAACAGTAACAAATATTTTCTAGTGGAGAGCCACAACGTTATCACTTGGAAATCCAAAATCTAACTATCTAAATTTTTTCTACATGTATCTTTACAACATTTCTAAATAGGAATTCGTTTTAAACTGACCAATAGAATTTTTAACATTTTTGTGTCTTAAATAACAAAATGACCAATCAGGTTTCACCACAAAATATGGTAAATATAGCAACATAGAATTTATAACAACAAATCATCACCTGGACATTTTATCAGTCATAAGGTTTTAACAACTTATTAAGTACAGACGACTAAATTGACATTATCACCTAATATAATAAAAACTTTTAGCACTGTTGATTGGACAAAGAGGAAAAGCCATATTTAATCTTCTGGTTACATAAATATTAATTTGACATCTGTTATTAAAACATATAATATTTGTAACTTAACATATTTGAAATTTCACACATTGTTCTGAAAATGTGACCTTTTTTAGAAAATGATTATATTTATAAATATTTTTGTTTAAAAGAAAATCATCATGCATATTTATTCATTTATTTTTTTAAAAGAATTTTATCATTTTCTGCTGCACAACACTTCTCCCTCCTTTAAGATTATTTCACTCCTGTGAAATGAAGCATAAATATGTATATAACAAAAATAAATATCATTAAATTAGAATACTGTTTACGTAAGATATTTCAGTTACAGAAATATATTGTGTATTAACATAAAGCACCGATTTTTGCTGAAAAGCATAAGTACCATCCACTTTATAATATTATCATACATGTATGTCACTGATTTATTGTAAACAATAAACTTTCAATAACGTCTACTTCTGTTATACTGCCCCCTCTGTCCTTGCTGTCTTCCATGGTGAAATTTGCTTCCTGATCTATACTCGTGTGGGAACCCGGTTTTCACATGCTGTTGAAAGGTCCTGATTACTATTTCCTTTTTACGACAAAGATATTTTGTTCTGTCTCTAAGCTGAGTAATCTCATCTGTCAAGGTTTTGGTTTTTATTTTTGAGGTCATCTATTTGGTCATTCAAATGATTCTGTCATCAATGCTTCGTCATAAGCTTTCTGTTTGTATTGGAGTCTCAATTCTACATAATCATCACTCAATTTCTTATATTCTAAAATAAGTTTGTCCATTTTCTCTAGTTTTGACGAGTCAGCACTTAATTTTTCTTTTAGCGAGTTGTTTTCTTGCAACAATGCTTCTTGAAAATTACATATTTGTGATTTCTTGAGGGAAATCTCATTCTGCAGGTTTTCATTAAAGTTTTTAAGTCTTTGATTTTTCAAATTAGAGCCACATTTTCTGATTTTAAAACCGTGAATTGTTTTATTCATTGAATCATTTAAAGATTGTATCTTCTGAAATTCTGCTTTAGAAACGTTACTAACAGAGTTGTTTGTTAAAATATACTTAAAGAAGGCATCGTCTTCGTTATAGAATGGTAACATGTTTTCTGCTGTCTTACGTCTGATAAAAAGTTGTCATACGTTCTTGATCCCGTTGTTTAGATAGACTTGACTTGACTGCTTGATTTCGGCAGACTCGTGCAAAATGTCCAATTCTCTTGCATTTGTTGCATCTTGCCATTTCTGCACAACACTTCTCCTTTCTGTTATAATGATTAAGTCCACATTGTCCACATGATTTTTCACTTCTAAATGGTATTCCGTTTATGAAACTCATTGTTGTTTTTCTTGGGGAAGTTGAATTCGTAGTCTCGCTTGCTAAATTGAGAGGTTGGGAAAGACACTGATTCCCACCAAGTATTATGCGCTGAATTATGGGTTCTACTTAAGGTGGATTTACACAACACAATGTTCCGTTTTATATATTTTAATGTTAATCTTTCTTAGTGGAATACCACAAATAATATATAACATATACACAGGTTATCCTTATGTTAACAAATAGATATTAAAAAACAGTAACAAATATTTCTAGTGGAGAGCCACAACGTTATCACTTGGAAATCCAAAATCTAACTATCTAAATTTTTCTACATGTATCTTTACAACATTTCTAAATAGGAATTCGTTTTAAACTGACCAATAGAATTTTAACATTTTTGTGTCTTAAATAACAAAATGACCAATCAGGTTTCACCACAAAATATGGTAACATAGCAACATAGAATTTATAACAACAATCATCACCTGGACATTTTATCAGTCATAAGGTTTAACAACTTATTAAGTACAGACGACTAAATTGACATTATCACCTAAATATAATAAAACTTTTAGCACTGTTGATTGGACAAAGAGGAAAAGCCATATTTAATCTTCTGGTTACATAAATATTAATTTGACATCTGTTATTAAAACATATAATATTTGTAACTTAACATATTTGAAATTTCACACATTGTTCTGAAAATGTGACCTTTTTAGAAAATGATTATATTTATAAATATTTTTGTTTAAAAGAAAATCATCATGCATATTTATTCATTTATTTTTTTAAAAGAATTTTATCATTTTTCTGCTGCACAACACTTGCCTGACCCGAACTGATAACAAGGTTAATCACATTTGATTCGTTCCAGCATATTTTAGACTAACCTAGAGAAATTCAAAACTATTGCCTCTAAACAATTTTTTTTTGCAACATTTTTGGCGAGATCAGAAATTACACGACAGCCATTAGTGAGAAGTATTCATGATCAGATGTGGTCATAAGCACAGGTATCACTGTAATTTCGACAATTCTAAAATCATATGTTGAGCCGCGTCATGACAAAACCAACATAATGCGTTTGCGACCAGCATGGATCCAGACCAGCCTGCGCATCTACTTGCTATAGGGTTTGTAAGCGAACAGCATGGATCCTGATCAGACTGCGCGGATGCGCAGGCTGGTCTGGATCCATGCTGGTCGCAAACCCATTATGTTGGTTTTGTCATGACGCGGCTCATATGTTCTTTCGTTATGTACGTGTACAAATTACATTATCAGTAACATTTATACATTTGTCAATGTAAAAAAACTGAACAAAGCCAAATGATATACTTTAAGTCACCAGGATCATGTACCATTATTGCTATGGCTTACAGGTACACACAAATTGCCACTTTTACTAACAAATGACAACAAAAGTGGTTGTATTATGGATGGTCTGGTCACACGATATCAACTCAGCTCTTCTTTACTTTGACAAATCGTTGACACTATAGAAAATAAAATTTTACAGATTCTCACACAAAACAATAGAATATGTTTATTTTACGATCAAAGGCACATAAATTTCGGTCAGCGAATCAATTTATGTCCATCTTCCTAAATGATTTTATTGCGGTATTGTCTTTGCTCAGATATAATTATGTATTATAAAAATAGGAGTATAACACTAATGAATATTAATTACAGTTCTTTTATATGAACCATGTGTACTCCATGAATTAATTAAGTTTTTTCCGACATCTGTATCGATCACTTTATTTTATAAAAAAAGATAATATGATCTTTTTGTAAAAAAATAAGTAGTAAATGAAAATGGTGATGTTACTGAATAAGATAACTAGAAATGAATTATCAGATGAAGAAATTTTAAGATGATTAAAATTATACAAAATATCTTCAAATGCGTCAGTTATCATTAAGATTTAATTTTTTACTAAAAAGCCCAAATATTTCTGTTGTAATATACAGGATAGGACACTTGGATCAAAAACCAACACAAATTTAAGTATCAAAACATGTTTCGCTTTATTCAGCTTCCTCAGTTGATACATAAAGGAAATGACGTAAACGTACAAAAAACGTCTACGTTAATAGACGTCACATTTGGCGCGTAAAAGAAACGTTATAATATTACAATAAGATAAAACGTCTATTACTGTTTAATACAATAAAACATGTGCATATGTATGTATAAACGTAATTTTTTATATAGCATATATAATTTTCGAAAATAATTACATAAAATAACTGGATCAAAAGATACATATATTTTCATAGAGAAACTAGGCTAGTAAATAATTACAACGAGTATGAAAATAACAGTAAATGTGAGAGTTTAGAATTTCGAAAAAAAACGTGCTTTAATCACGTGTTAAAATTGTAAAAAGGGAGATAATAATTTAGAAACATCGTTATCAATCAGTATATCTTATAAAGGTTATCAAATAAAATGAAAATTATCTAAATGTTGTAATATACGAAATTGTAAACAGATACGTAACATATGCAATTGAGTGGGTATTTTTCACCTCCGAGTCTTGTCTGAAGAGACTACATTGTTTTATGAAGTTTCATACCAATTAATTATCTGCATAATGACAAATTATTAGCTCACTTTCAGTAAAAAAATCATATTTATCGGTCTTTGGACGTCATTAGAGCTCATTCAAAAACAGCGTTAAACAATATTAACGTTCATGTCAAATGACGATATAAAGCAAATGTGATTTACTGATCTATCGCGATACTTGTAGTTTAAGTTGACATAATTTTCTATATTGCTTAACATACAGAATTTCATTAGCTTGACAATAAATTAATCGGGACAACTTATCATTTCTTTTAAGTCAATTAACGAAATTGTAATAAATAATCGCAATTTATTGAAGAGCCTCGGACAACTGAAAACACTCAATGAATCTCATATAAATAACCATACGGAGTGGCCTGAATACTAACCACAGTAGTGTCTGATGGAGTGGACTGAAAAGAAATCGCTTGCGTGAAAAAAGTTATAAACTGTCATTTGTTTATTATTTCTTCGTCATCAAAATCTGACGAGTTTAATATGATAGCTTTAACACCAGATCACAGTTGTCATAGTGGCGCACGTGAAGCGCGTACGGCCTGCTTGAATAAAGTACTGCACATTATCAACCTGTGAGCAGAGCTAAATGTGTTATTATAATTAATTATAATAAATTAAGTTTCATATGGTCTCATTAGCATGACATTTTGCTGAAATATAACAATGGGAATATCATGGATTTTACTTGTTTCAATAATTGCAAAATTGTCGTCTGCTATGGAACGCCATTACTTTATTGCAGCAGAAGAAGTTGCTTGGAATTACGCGCCGTCTGGACGAAATCTTGCCTCTGTAGACAATGAGTATGTATAATGTATAATGTTTAGAGTTAAGCAACTATGGTGTTGTATTAGTCGGGGGTCAGCGTTCATTTCTTGTTCAGTTTTGTATTTTCATTCAAACAGTGTCTTTCTTTATGTGTTCATCTATGCAATTTTACCGGTTCCCTTTCGGTAGCGTTTAATTAATTAAAATCATGAACTTTTTTCTTATGTCTCCGCATATATTTTATACTTCTAACAGTAACAGAAATTTAAGATGATCGCTGTCTGAAGTATTACACTTTCTCCTCTCTATCAAAAATCTTGCCGAAAAAAATCTTGTAAAATTACTTTTTCAACAATAGTTATTCGAACTAGCATAAAAACCATTGTATATTCTTATCGTGTTGCTTTTTTAGGTTTTCTTAGTGTTAAATGACAAGACACATTTTCCTTAACAACTAAGGCACACATTCAAAGTTGTATACTTGTCATTTACAGGTGATAAAAATCAAACACATTCCTCCATCAAATAGCAAAATGTATATCTACTGTACATGTATATTCACTGTAAATTACTTAACCAGTTTACTGTACTGAACTTGTACAAACACCAATGGACGGCTCTAAAAATAATTCAAATCGTTTCTTATTTTATTCTAAACAGACAAACACCTTGTGGCTGAGGGGTTGCCTTTACGGGTTGATGCATTAAAATTTGCAGCCACCGTTTAACCTTGTATGATCGTAAGAGGCGACTAAATAGGTTTCTATGCAAATCTTAGCTCCAACAGGTGCGATAGTTTTGAACCCTGATGTTCCTTTTAGGTTGTAAAAGCCGAGGTTAGCCAAAATCATCTTTCCTGTTTCGGCGCACATATGACCTTAATAATGTTGCTGCGCCGTAAAACCAAGCAAAGAAACTAAACAAAAATACTATAAAGCAGACATTTTATTCATTGTGCTAGTTATTTTCACTATTTTATTCTTACCTTTTTTCCTTAATGTAACCACTTTATATCAATGTTTTTTCTTCTTTTTTATTGCCGTCCTGATAGTGTTGGAATAATGCAAATTTAATAAACTAAGTATGGCAACTGACAAAATATACATAAAGGTTGTAAAACAGCTGATATTTGCAAATTATATTGTATAAAATACTTAATATGATATTCAATTCTTTTTACATTATTAATGTCATATGCCTAAATATACTACATTTAGTTCTAACATACAGTAGATAATGTTGACTTTACTTTAAAATATATTTTTTAATGCACCCAGTTGTTATCATAATTTATGTCAGTACAACATCGTGCGTTATGTTACATGTACTACATTGCTTAAATATAGTTTAACCACTAACACGCCCGTTTAACTCACAACGAGTGAAAAATGTCCATCGGTAAAAATGTTGTGAGCAACTTCCGTTCCTCGTTGTGAGCACCCATCTATGACGTGTGAAACGATAAACAAGGTGAGCTTTTCATAATTTTTGAAGATTACAGACATTTATGTAAAAATATCGGAATGCAGTTAGCTAGCGATGTGTTTTCTGAGTATGCACATATAAAGATATTGCCTGTTGGTGGACAATTTGATGGAAATACCGTGCGACGGAGTCACTCGGGGTAGCTGGAAAACTGGAGACAACTTCTCTTTGGACCTAATTTAACATTGAAAACGTTGTTCTGGTGACGTTTTGTGCATTTCTAACCTAAAACAGATGCCCACAAGTCTTCAGCGTGAATTATTATCTGAAAGTTTTCATAGAAACGGAGATATACCCTTTTTGCTTTAATCCTCGTTGTGAGCACCATAACCTCGTTGTGAGCAAGACAAGCGCAGTGCGTGTATGGTTTTAATATGTAATTCAGATGGTGAAAATGTAATGTTCAATCTACCAAAGCAATTAAAACGTTTTTGCACAGCAGCATTTCTTTGCAAGACGTTGTGCATACCCCAAAGGAAGTCATATTAGTTTTGACCTGTCCGTCTGTCAGTCTGTCAGTCATTCCGTCCGAAAACTTTAACATTGGCCATAACTTCCTTATTAATAAACGGATTTGATTCATATTTGAACACAACATCCCTTAGCATAAGACATTCCTACGGACCTGTTTTTTTTACCTTGACCCTTGAATGGCCTTTACCTTGAAGGTCAAATTGTCCAAAAACATTTAAGATTGGCCATAATGTCCTGGCATAATGTTTAGGCACAACACCTCTTTGGACAAGGCCTTCCAACTATCCTATATTCTTTTGACCTTGACCCTGAATGACCTTCACCATGAATGTCAAATTGTCCAAAAACTTAAAAATTGGTAATTACTTCCTTATAAGTATACGGATTATACTCATATTTTGACACAACACTCCTTTAGACAAGACCTTCAAACTGATTTGTTTTTTTTACCTTGTACCCTGAATAACATTCTAGAACATCCAAAAACTTTAACATTGGTCATAACTTCTTTATAAGTAAGTGGAATTAATTCATATTTGGACACAATGCCCCTTTGGACAAGACCTTCCAACTGACCTATATTTATTTCACCTTGACCTTGAATTACCTTCACATTGAAGATCTAATTGTCCAAAAACAAATAATCTATCTGGTCCATAAATCAAAGGGGCATTTCAACTTACCTTGACAGTTCTTGTTTTATATACCTTGGTCAGTCTTCAGCTCAGGATAAACACACGTAAAAAAAAAAAAAAAAAAAAAAAAAAAAAGAAGAACTATTGCAAAGAAAAACTATTGTACAAAAACGTTTTGATTGCTTTTGGTAGATTGAAAATTGTATTCTCGCCATTTGAATTACATATTAAAACCAGACAAGCACTGCGCTTGTCTTGCTCACAACGAGGTTATGGTGCTCACAACGAGGATTAAAGCAAAAAAGGGTATATCTCCGTTTCTACGAAGACTTTCAGGTAATAATTTACGCTGAAGACTTGTGGGCGTCTGTTTTAGGTTAGAATGCACAAAACGTCACCAGAATCGACGTTTTCAATGTTAAATTAGGTCCAAAGAGAAGTTGTCTCCAGTTTTCCAGCTACCCCGAGTGACTGCGTCGCACGGTATTTCCATCAAATTGTCCACCAACAGGCAATATCTTTACATGTGCATACTCGGAAAACACATCGCTAGCTAACTGCATTCCGATATTTTTACATAAATGTCTGTAATCTTCAAAAATTATGAAAAACTCACCTTGTTTATCGTGTCACACGTCATAGATGGGTGCTCACAACGAGGAACGGAAGTTGCTCACAACATTTTTACCGATGGACATTTTTCACTCGTTGTGAGTTAAACGGGCGTGACTAATAAATATGACAATAGAATACATTAGTCAGCGTTATAAATCAATCGAACAAATATTTACTTATTAAAGCTTTATATGGGCTATGATTAACATTCTGAATACAGATCTATACATTGTCATGTGTACAGTATAATCATCAATTGGTACTCTTTAAGTATTTGATAAATGTACTGAATTAAACACTACAGTACATGTAGTTTTGCATTGTACAGTTAAGGGATAGGCGACGAAATGATCACAAAGAATACCTCTCAGTTATCAATACAATTAACGGTGTCATGACAATGTTTCCAAATGTAATACTAGTACTTGTTAGTCAATAAAGCGGTTCCGGGAGCGGCTAAAATAACTTAAATAAAGCTTTCATTAAACAGAGCTAAAATACAGTTGTGTTAAACTATTGTGCCCTTTGATCCACACGTATTAATTTCTGAATTCATTTCAATCTATTTCGGTGAATAATGATAATAAATAATAATAATAATAATTATTATTATAATAATAATAATAAATAATAATAAGAGTAATAATAATAATAATAATAATAATAATGAGAATGAATCTTGATTTAGAGAATGTATCATACAAAAGTCCTGTGAACGTTGCCTTTGCCTTGTTGATCTTTTATAGAAAAACGAGCATATGTGTTCTTATTTTCAGTACGTCTTCTGAGTTAACAATTCGTACAAACAAAAAATCTCAGATATATATTACTTAAATGTAGAGCTAGAATGTTTTCATTCACTCACACGACTGGCGTACACTCCTTGTAATCATAGTACTTATAGAATAACTTATAATAATAAGATAATAACAATTACAACAACAGCCACATTATAAAGTGATTTCAGGTTGCATTAAAATCTTCATCATGTACCGAATTATAATATAAGAAACTGATTTTTACAGCTGTTTTTGAAAGATTGTAATGTCAAAAAACATGGTTTGATAGTAACTTAAGAGTGATTTTTTATCTGCTTGATACTGACTTTTTGATAAACATTTTCTTGTTTGATAATGTGTGTTTATCTTTTTTCTTTCTTTTAATATTGATTTGTTTTAGGAGAGGCGGCTCTTCTTTTTAAAAAATGATTTTTGATTTTAACTCATGAATGATAAGCAATATATTACACCGAACGATGCCTAAGACTTATTTATGACTATTACTGTAAGAAACAGTTAAAAAGTCAGTAAATAGCCTTATTTACTTTTAAACATAGTATCTATATATATTACATACACATTATTCGGAATGACAGAAACATTGATAGCAAACTTAACAAACACAACGAAAACTAATAATACCGTTACTAAAATCATATTAAATTTGGAGGTTTCCTTTTGTTTTTAGAAAATGGCCAATATCATAATAATATCGTTACTTTAATAACAAAATGTGGATTTCTTTTTCGAAAATGGCTTTAAAAAATGACAATGTCTTTAAAAATTATCCTATTTACAGGAAAAAAGGGTTACCAAATAGTACAAAATTGAACGTGTGGAGTCTGTGGTGTAAGCGGGTTAAAAAAAATTGTTTGCATCGTTTTGATCACCCGACTGCAAATGAATGGTGTAAGCCGGATGCTTATAAGAATAATGATTCTCATTGGTAAGCTGGGTCCCCCGCCATAACGTTTCTTTTATCGACCATCATATAAACCGCTATTGATGATAAAGCTATAATTTACGACTACCGCTGTTAGAAACAACCAAACATAAGATGTGGTTATGGTTAAATTGTCAGTGAATGACCTTATTTATTTTAATATTGTATCTATTTACAACAAACACACTATTCAGAACAACAGAAAAAATGATGGTTAAAAATTAATGAGCACAGCGAAAACCTAAATGTGGGGGAATTAAGACTTATATACTCATTTTTTTAGTGCGTCCCGGGAGAAGATTGACCGTCGCCAAGATAGAATAGGCAGTACATACAAGAAAGCCGTATTTCGGGGATATTCGGACAATACATTCACGAAACCACTTCCGCGTCCGGAATGGGCCGGGCTTCTTGGACCACTAATCAAAGCAGAAGTAGGAGACGTTGTGGTTATTCACTTCCAGAATTGGGCTACCGGAAGCAACTTCAGTATTCACCCTCATGGCTTCTTATACAATAAGGCAAATGAAGGTAAATGTAAAACTTTACACTACCGTACAGTAAAAGTTTTTACATAATGGCTGAATATATCATTTTAAAAAAGTCATTTTAAGTATGACATGTTAATATTTTATCTAAATAGTTAAGTGTGCATTCTATCTAATGTTTAGAATCAATGTCTATATCGCTACATTGTAATAATCAAATAAACTGTCATGTATATTTATATTATTGTATAGCAACGAGTGTCTTCACGGATTATGTTGTGTAACAATTATAGTATCAACTATAACAAGTCTTTTAAAGAAAAAAAACTAATAAGGAATACATAAAAAACAAAGATATATAATTTTACAATTAAGCAGCATTCTTGGTTGATATACAATCCATTTATTTGAAAAAGGACTTACTTGATAGAAAAACAACACTTTTATGTTAATGATATGACATAAACGATGCGGTGAGAGCTTAAACCAAAACCAGAAAATAAGATACCAATGTTAAGTTCATATTTAACTAGAATATTTAGGTTTATAATGTATTATGACAAAAAGTCGTATTTGAAACAAAGGAATATTGACAAAAGCCCTTTCATCCCAAAGCAGCCAGGGGATAATGGCGTCCATCAAATTTGCAAGGAAGATAAACGTACTTCAAAGAGAACAAAATGCCTCAAAACAAAATTTATTTGAAAAAAAAATGAAAAGAAAAGAAACAAATAAATAAAGTTTCTACAGCTGCAATATATTAAAACAAAATCAATCAATTAACAATGTTTTAAGTTTTAGAGATACATGTATTTATGGTCATAGCAAAAAGTTTTACTTTGAATGTCTAGAACAAAATGCAACTGATCAATATTGATACAATGTTGTTTTGTATTTTCTTCTTGCATTATTTTGTTATTGCAAGAATAATGATAATATCTTAGGAATTGCAGTACAGGATTATTTGAATACTGACATTGAAAGCTTTACTGTCAATCAATATAGGTTATCTTTTTCTTCCACATTAGGCTGGTGTTTCCATTAGTTTTATCCATGCCGGAGATTTCAACTGGCATGCGGGGTTATCGTTCAATCAATGGGCATGGTACCCTCAGGATAGATATTCTGATACGAACCGTAACATATGACATATATTATTATAATTGCGGTAACTTCACTACAACTCCTCTAACAAAATATTTTAATTCATACAATTCAGACATATAATTAACATTCATTAAGAGGTCCCTTCATTCTGATGTTAATTCTTATACATTAAATACAATATTCTCAAAACTTATTTTCGAATAATATTAATTCTAAAAATGTTCGTGTACTTTACCATGAATAAATAACATTATCATTATATTAGTAAGACAGAATAAAATAGTGAGTATTGACATTTTTATGTAGAAGAACTCAATGTAATTGATTGAGGGTTTTTGTCCACTCAGGAAAAAAAATGATGGTAGGGATTTTGCTTACCATGGCGTTTTGTATTCAATGGCTATAGTCCATTAGCTATTTTGTTGTTGTTGTTGTTTTCACTCTAATACAACAATTTCAAAGAATGTTTTGCCCATTTAAGGTGCTCTGTATATCGACGGAACGAGCGGAAAGGCTAAATACGACGACGCCGTACCACCAGGTGGCAGTATAACATATATATGGCATGCTGCCAAAATTCACGCGCCAACACCTCAAGATGACAACTGTGTAGGTTGGGGTTACCATTCTCACGTGACTTCACCGAAGGACATCGACACTGGCCTTGTAGGTCTAGCAGTTATTTGTCGAAAAGGTATTTTCTTATATGTCACACTAATGCAAATGTTCATTAGCCGAATCGTCGCAACAATGTGTATGAAAATGACGTGTGTATTCACTAAAGTCCATTTAATCCTTTGTCAATAGAAATACACTTCTACAGCTTCATTATTTATGTACAGCCAAAACAATAGAAAGCAATCCAACTTACAAAGAAACTCTACAGAATGTTTTATTTAAACACTTTATTTGCATTCCTGAAAAATGATAAAATGTTTGTGTTTCATTGCATCCTGTTGATATGTCAAAACCCTTAAAGAAATATACATACATGCATTCTTATATGCCAAACTGAAAGGAGTTAACATGTAGTCTTGTGGCCGAATAAATCTGAAAAAGTACATAAAAACATTGTATTATATATAATAGGTTAAACTTAAGTTGGCATTTGGTTTCAGAATGTTTTTGTCTATATCAGGAACACTCGATCACTATGGTAACCGCATGGATGTAGACAGGGAGCTGTACCTGTATTCAGACATTGCAGACGAGAACAAAAGCTGGTATTTTGATGACAATTTAGGTCTATGTGGCAATCCACAGTTGTGTAGGCATCTAAAGGTATTAGATTTTTAAAATTAAGATTTTTAGTATTGTTAATAAAAAAAAATGTTAACTTTTAAATGGAAGCTGTTAAGTTGGCTAAAAATTATCAAATGCAATCTCAGTGCCAACATCCTGCTCTGTTGGCGATGCGATAAAAATACAAGACAAATGTATTAATGGAATCCATTATTTAAAAGAACTTCTCGTAAACTTTAATGTATAAGTTAATAAATATCTTATGAGATATTATCGTAATATAACCTGGAATAATAGGCTTATGTTAAAAAAGCATCTTGTTGAGAACGCTTGCCAACTAAAACATAGACCGCGTGAAATTTTGTTTTTCAAGAGCAGACGAGAACTGGTCACATGAAGCCGATAACAAAAGGCCAATGTCGTATTTAAGCGCCAAAATTTCTCAACATACCGAATTGCCTGACTGAGTTTTAAGATATAACATGTACATGTATATTATAATGAAAATTTGCAATGTGGTCAACTAGCAGTATTAATTCTGATATGACTGTATGGCGTGAAAATAAGTTTGGCTGTATATGTTCAGTTCCATTATTGTAGGTTATAAAGCTGTGTGCCAGTGCTCTTTTTCTTTACAAATGCATTCTTTTTTTTTTTCATTGGAAAAAAACAAGATACAGTATTATTTAAGTACATGTTACATGTAATTATTTTCAAAGACATTTTAAGGCATATATCAAAAAGATTGATAGATTCATGTTTGAATTTATAGAAAACTCAAGATGAAAAATTCAAACTTAGCAACGAAAAATACCACATAAATGGGTATATTTATGGTAATTTGCCGGATTTTAAAGTATGTGAAGGGGAAAATGTCGTCTGGTATTTTATGTCATTGAATCTTGGAGTTCACACAATGCATGCTAACGGACAGACGATGGTTATAGAGAAAAAGCGGTAAGCAATAAGATTTTTTATATATACGAATACCTTATCATAAAGTGGCTTTTATATTGTTATTTTGATACGTATATAGGTTCCAATCGGGTAACTAGTATTTAAAATGACACATATATCGTTAACCAGTTTAGTATGAAGTAATAGATTATGGTATTGCAAAACTTGCAAATGTTCACCACTTCCAAAATGAAATTTAATGTTTTTATTATGAATTAAATAATAGTTGTCTTTACTATGTGGCGTTACTGTAAAACCATTCTTATACGACAATTTAAGCGCAGATCCGACAATTTATGTAGTGGATGGGCAAAACAAAGTTATGTCCGTAATGCTGTATAGGGCTAGAAGCGAGTGTTAAAATGGGTGCATTTGAGAGATTATGCTTGTTTACAATTTAAGATTGGCGTTACAAACATAATGATCAACATATTTTTTTAAATTAAGCTTCTGTCAGATGTTCTAATGCACTAGTTAGTTGTCACCATGTCTCCCTTCTCTCGGGGGAAGTTCCGGGGGAGAATAAAGGGGGAAGTCAGTTTAACAATAAGCCTTTCCCAGCACTGCCGGATGCATGCATTCGCTGGGTTTTGTTTTGGCCCAAAAGAACAGGAAATATGCCCAAGCCTCATAAAGTTGTCCTATGTGACTTTATCATTCATCTTGTATGTATTTATAAAACATTAGACAATGTTTTTACATAAATTATCGATAAAAAGCACGCATGAACTTAACATCTCATTATGCAATCGACACCATTTTACATTGATTTATTGAATAAAATTGAATAATTAAATAGATTTAAATGCTTATTAGACATTAACTTGACAATACAATTCAAATCATTCAAATCATTCATTTATTGACTGTATTTAATGCATGAATATTTTAACCCAATGTTTAACGCGTGTAAAATGCAGGTTAGTATTCGATTACTCAAGATTACTAGCATTCACTTATAATTTGTGGAGATTATAACCTGGTTCAAGACCCAGATCTAGATTATCATAATTATAAATCCAAAACTAATAATATAAAAGCCAGAATTTTTTTATTGGATATTATTAAAGATAAAGATCTTATTGACCCTTTTAGAGAATTACATGGCGAAATTAAAAAATTTACATGGAGGCGTACAAATCCTATACAACAGGGGAGATTAGATTTTTTTCTTTTATCAAATGATTTGTATCAGTATGTAAGAAAATGTGATATTGATGTGAGTTATAAATCAGATCATTCAATAATATTTTTAGATATTTGTTTTTCTCATATTTGTCATGGTAAAGGTTTGTGGAAATTTAACAATGCTTTATTAAATGATATTGAATATTTAAAAATTATAAATGAAAAAATTGATGAAATAAAACTTCAATATTGTATACCAGTTTATAATATAGACTATATAATAGATACAAAAAATAAAGACATTAACTTTACAATCAATGATGAACTATTTTTAGAAACACTTTTGATGGAAATAAGAGGTAAAACTATTTCATATAGCTCCTATAAGGTTAAAGAGAAAAATAATTATGAAAAACAAATAATGGAGGAAATATCACTCATAGAACAAAATTTGACAATTGATAATAAAGACAGACTCTTACATTTACAAAATGAATTAAATCAGATAAGACATAATAAAATAAAAGGTTCTATGATTAGGTCAAGGTCACAATGGATTGAATCTGGGGAAAAACCTTCTAATTTTTTTTTTGAATTTAGAAAAAAAATATTGTGCTGAAAAAAATATTCCTTTTTTAGAAATGGATAACGGAACATTTATTTATGATCAAAAAGATATACTCACACATACTTGTTGTTTTTATGAAAATCTATATAAAAAAGTGAACTTGACTGATGAATCTGTTATTGATAGAGAATTAGGAAATTGTGATATTACTACACTGACTCATGATGAAATGTTAAAACTAGAAGGTGTTCTTACATATGATGAAGTTTCTTTTACATTGAAAAATATGAAGAATGATAAAAGCCCAGGTTGCGATGGATTTACGGCTAACTTCTTTAAAACCTTTTGGAGTAGAATTGGTCATTTTGTTGTTAGAGCTATAAATTTTGCTTACAGAAATAATGCTTTTGGTAGAAGTCAAAAACTTGGTATAATAACATGTATTCCAAAAGAAAACAAGCAGAAACATTTTTTGAAAAATTGGAGACCAGTAACTTTATTAAATGTAGTCTACAAATTAGCATCAGGTAGTAAAGCAAACAGATTAAAAGGTGTTCTAGATATTTTAGTTTCAAAGGATCAGACAGGATTTATAAAGAATAGATATATAGGAGAAAATACTAGATTATTGTATGACATAATGAAATTTACAGAAGATAATAATATACCAGGTTTAGCAATGATGATAGATTTTGAAAAAGCATTTGATACTTTATCTTTTACATTTATTGAGAAATGTCTTTCATCTTTTCATTTTGGTCCTATGCTTAAAAAATGGATATCTTTGTTTCTATATAATACTGAAACTTGTGTTATTTTAAATGGGTTTTTATCTAATTTTTTTAAAGTTGAACGAGGCTGTAGACAAGGCGATCCAATTTCCCCATATATCTTCATTTTATGTGCAGAAATATTAGCTATAAAAATTAGGCAAAGTAAAGATATTAAAGGTATTACAATAGACGGTGAGGAATATAAAATTTCACAATTTGCAGATGATACATCACTTTTATTAGATGGTTCAGAAAAATCACTAAATGCTTCTTTAAACTTGTTAAATACATTTTCAGAGATTTCCGGATTAAAAATAAATTTTGACAAAACCAAAGTTATCTGGATAGGCTCTTTAAAATATAGTACTAGATCAATTAAGACAAGATGGAAACTTACATGGGGTGATACACAGTTTAAATTGTTAGGTTTAGTATTCGATGTTGATTTAGAAAAAATGATAATCTTAAACTTTAACGAAAAACTACAGAAAGTAAAAAATAGTAGTAGCCACTGGAAAAAGAGAATGTTAACTCCAATTGGAAAAATTACTGTTGTTAAATCAATATTGCTTCCATTATTTACCCTTTGTTTTACAAGTTTACCAACACCTAGTACTGTTTATTTGAAGACATTGAATGACTTATTTTATGATTTTATATGGGAGGGCAAGGCAAAAATAAAACAATCAGTAATTACTAAAACATACAAAGAAGGTGGTTTAAATATGACTGACATTAATAGTTATGTTCATAGTTTAAAGATAAAATGGTTTAGAAGGTGTGTTAGTAATAGCAGCAGTAAATGTTATAAGCTAGTGAATACATTGTTTGATATTGGTAAAGTTTTTAACACAGGTAAAATGTTTTGTAAAGTAATTATCAGTAAGATTAAAAATGCTTTCTGGATTGATGTTTTAAAGGCTTATATGATGTTTATTGAAAAACTTTCTATAGATAATATAGAGCAAGTATTACATATGCCACTTTTTTACAATCATAATTTTTTATCTGGGAACAGATATATTTTCATTCAGATATTGTATGATAAAGGCATCAGATTTGTGAAAGATATTATTAATGAACAGGGTAATTTTGTAGATTTGAATTATTTAGAACAGGTAACATGTAAACAAGTGAATTTTTTACAATATCATAGTTTAAAACAGGCAATTAAATTTTATATGCAAACGCTAAATATGATGATTTGTAATAACTTGTTTAATGTTCAATACCCTATTATAAGTTGTTATATAAAACCTATTTTGTTCATGAATAGTAATAAGAAATATGTATATGAAACTTTAGTTAAGAATTCAGATTTACCAACAAGTCAAGAAAAGTGGAACACATGCTTTATAGGTGATCACATTAATTGGCATTTAATTTATAGTTATGTTTTCCATTGTACAAAAGATTCATACATTCAGTGGTTCCAAACAAGAATTATTCATAGAATTATTGCTACAAATTCACTTCTGTTTAAAATGAAAATTGTGAACAATAAAATGTGTACTTTTTGTAATTGTTATGAAGAAACACTTTTGCATTTGTTTTGGGAATGTCACAAGATTCAAGGCCTTTTTCAATATCTGAAAGATAACACACATAATTTTGAAGAATGTTTCAACTGTAAATCAGTTATTTTAGGTTCAGAATCTAAAGATTTTAAATATGACATTTTGTTTTTAGAACTAAAAAGATATATTTATTTGTCAAAGCGAAAAAAAGTGCTACCCACATGTATTGGTTTTAAAAATAGTCTTAAATTAGCATGGAATATTTATAAAGATACAAACTTGACAGAAGATGAAAATAATAGATGGCAATTAGTAAGATCTTTAATTGAATAAACTACACTGACATACTGAATTAGATAAATAAATTTAACCTGATAAAAAAAAAAAAAAAAGATTACTAGCATTCTTGGCAGTATAATCTCTTATTTACTTTCTTACTAAGGCTGACTAAATATTCAACAAGTTTAGGGATTCTTTTAAAATATAATGTAAATATACACACACTCATTCACACACACGCTGCATGAATTGTCTAAATTTGATTTCATACAAAAAAATTCTCTTACAGAACGGACACTGCAACATTGCAATCTGCTAGTTTTTATTCTGGTTATATGACCCCGATGAACCCCGGTAGATGGCTTTTCTACTGTAGAAATCTGTTTCATTACACAGGTACATGTATACAATTCATATGTTTATATTATACTTGGATGGCTAAGTTTCGAAATCGACCAGAAACAAGAAAAACAAAAAAAAACAAACAACAAAAAACATTTTGTCAACTATGAATTTTAAATATGGGTGTGTGTCGAGGATTGCCAAAAAGCGTAGGATTGCCGGGAAATGTCGATTGCAGTGTATAAATAAGTTATTTTTGGTGGTCACGAGAAATATAAACAATATCAATTACCGTAATAATAATGTAATTGTAATAATAACAGCAACAACTTAAAAGTAAATGCTATTATCAATTATCATCGGATGAAAATATCCTATATTTAATAAGAAAGTATACATTATGTTTATTTTCAGAGGGAATGAGAGCATTCCTAGCTGTCAAGAAATGTAAACCTCGTAAAACATTGATTAAACCATTATATATCGACATGAAGAAAAAGGTGAAAAAGATCATTCCAAGGACGAAAATATACTATATAGCAATAGAAGAAGTCCTTTGGGACTATGCTCCAGGAGTAAACGCAAAGAAATTTCCGTAAGTTATAATCTGAAAATAAAGTAACGTAACACAATACTCGGTGCCATGTAGTAATTGACATAAATTAGAAGGTTATTTACTTGTTTCATACACTTTAAATATTGTAAAACATTCATTTGTTTAAATGCATTGATGTGGCTGTGAAAGTTAACAATTTTGTAGCACAATTTTTTAGCATTTATTTTTTCATACTTCATTTAATTGCCCATGCTATTTTTCCTACGAGACTCTCTTGTTTAAAATAATGATGAACATTATGCCCCAGAAACAAATGAATTTCTCCTTCGTGAGAAAAGAAAAATATGAGCTTTGCAAAGTTTGTATAATGTTTTAAAGCATGGTATATGTAAATTATAAGAAGAAAGTTGCATTGAATGTGAAATTATTCGTCTTCGTCATAAAAATATAAGCTAAGTATTATTTTGACTTTCATACAAAATACTAAATGACTATATAACTGTGATAGTTTTCAGAAAGCAACAGAAATAAAATATGATTCAGGTTATTGGACAATGAGTAACCTTTTGGAAACTATATCAGGACACAAAATTTTTGAGAAATAAAAATAATGCATTATTTCTGAGGCATAATTGGCCTTTAAATACTATCCGACGGATTTTTATGTATTCCTGCGGAACATTGTTCATTTACTGATTAACAGAATGAAATGTACGTAAGGTCTTGTTTTGTAGAGGTGCTGACAGGTTCTTGCAGCAAGGAAGGCAACGGATTGGCTCAGTATACAAGAAAGCAGTTTATCGTGCATACACAGATAAAACATTCACCATGCCTATACCACGTGGAAAGCGAGAGTTGCATTATGGTCTAGCTGGTCCTCCTATCAAAACTGAAGTCGGTGATCACGTCATCGTTTACGTTATGAATAGAGCTTCGAGACCATATTCGTTTTTGGCCAATGGTGTGTCCATTTCAAAAGAGAACGAAGGAGCATTTTATAAAAACAACCGGTTTGGTAAACAAAAATTATTAACTCCTTCTAGATACGTTTGAGTACGTTTTTCAATCTTTTATTTCAAGATTGATCGATTTCAAATTGTATACTTTTATGAGCATTCAAACATAGCATTGTAAGCATTAAACGTGATATTTTTTATTATAAAATACAGAAGAAAATATATGATCGAACAACGAAGTTTTGAAGTATTAATTATTATTTAAATTAAAACGATTTGAATCTCTTAATGAGGAATTAATTACGAAGGTCATTTCTCAAAATACAATCGCTTATTTGAATTGCACATTTTATGTATATATATAATTACATGTATAATGAAATAAGATGATGTTTTAAAATTAAACTATATTTATTTTAATGCATGCGCTTCCTTGAAACACATTCATTTGCATTTAGTATATAACTAATAATAACTACTTCCTGAGATCGCAAAAAAAGGTACAAGTTGAATAGCGTCGATCAGATTGCAATAAATGATACAGTGACCGGTAGAAAAAGGTACTTGTAACTACAATAACACAATGTGCAATAAATGATGCAGTTATTTCGTTTCTACAATGCGATAATGATTTATCATATTTGTTATTTGTATTTTATTATCACAACACTTTTGCACTTTTTCTATAGACAAGCTGGAGACGGGTTATGTTGTCCGACCAGGCAGAGTTCGAGTTTATGAGTTCAATGTACCAAAGCAGGTAGCACCTACACCATTAAACACAGATTGTATCACATACGTGTATCACTCTGCAGTTGACCTACAAAAAGATATATATACCGGGCTTTTTGGTCCACTGCTCGTATGTAAACCAGGAACTCTTTCATACAAAGATAAACAGGTAAACATAATAACACATCTTGGTTAAAATCTTAGCGAAACAACAACAACAAAAATTCTTGTATATGACATTTATGTAAAAGTAAACATTTTAAGTTAAGATTAAGATAAGTACGTAGCTGCATTAGTCACTGACAGTAAGGGGAAATTGAAATGTAGAAATGTCTGAGGTCACAACAAAATCTCCGGTTATCACAGCAATTGCTAGAAGTCTTTTTTTTTCTATATTACATCCCATTACTTCAACAAAGACATTTAAGAATTTAACATCAATGTAAGTTAAGCATGGTATTTATTATTTCAGTAGTCTTAAAATGAATATATACTTCATATACTTCAAGCCGGTGCTGGGGGACAGTAGCTTGCACTTACCTCTATAGTTCATGAACAGGCTCGATCAAACCGAGCCAGCAGCGCATTTTTTCCGTTCCGGACGTTCTTTAAGATTTTCGTTTTTTAAACATTTCGATATTACTGTCTACAATTTAAATTTGACTATTTAACTATTAGATTAAAAGTACTCTGTACATACAATGTACAACTATTAACTGACACAATACATTAAATATACTAAACAAATTATAAATATATGAAGCTAAATTTTATCAATGTGACATTGTTTAATCTTTTCTTGTTTTAATATTGTAATGATTTTCTCCTAAAACGCCCTGTCAGGTCGGCGTAGATCGAGAGTTCTATCTAAACTGGATGGTAATTGATGAAAACCTATCCTGGTATATTGATGACAATATCAAAGCTTTCACAACACAACCGTATACAGTGAACAAACAGGATCCACAGTTTCAGTTGTCAAATAGGATGAGATGTAAGAAAAATATTGAATATCTTTCCAACGGATTGAATGACATCGGGGTCTTTCAATCTGAACTACTCTAAAGACCCTATTGGCAGTTGAAATCATTACAAAGAAAAAAAGTCAAGCTATATAAATGAAAGCAAATATGAATAGCCATGTAAAATTTTAGAGTTTATATAAAAAGGCCTAGTTTTCAAAGGTATTTTGTGTTGCTCTTTTTTGTAGTTTGTAACCCATTTAACTTAGATTGCTGACAAAATTTTCAAATTTGAAGCGAATTTATATGCTGTTAACTTAGTTTAAATATATAAGATAACTACGATAAAAGTATCTATCTATCATGATTTATGGTGAGATATACAAAGTAATTGCTAGGCATTTATAATAAATGTTTGCAAAAAGTGTCTACGCTAGATAGATGCCGACCGCATTGCTGCAATAAGCATATTTATGTAGGGGTCATCAAGTATCTGGTATGTGTTAAAAAGTCTTTCTTTCATACTTTATTATTACATGTGTTTTATTTTGAAGTTTGTATACACTTTTTGTTATCTTCTTCACAGCAATTAACGGGCGTACTTTTGGGACGCTTAAAGGATTGGACATGTGTTTGGGCGATCGTGTCTCGTGGCATATGTATGGTTTGGGACAAAGATTCGATCACCATCACTTCAGTTTTGAGGGTAACAACTTCCTCCATGAAAATCGTAAGCTTGATACAACCTCTGTGTTACCTGGTACCGGACAAACTGTATCAATGATTACTGATCAATCAGGTATGATAATCTGATAGTGGTAACCGTATTAATATAACAGATGTAAGCTTATACACCATAATTATGACAGTATATTTAGAATATATTTTTTCAGTCCATTATACAACGTGAACAATTCAAAAATATGATACTCCTATTATACAATCGCAATATGCCTTCATGTAATAGGTCCAAACAATCTCATGTTTAATAGATGATGTTTCATAACGTATTTATGTAAGTTCATCATATACATAAATTTTATAATAAAAACATGAAGTTATAAGTTTCAATAAATTATGTAAAATTTACACGTTACGTATAATATTAAAATTTTGAATACTTTAGAAAATCATATTTTATTGGCGTCCGCGCCGAAGCACGACGCCCTTTAAAGAATGACAAAAGGCAGTTGCTACTTCTCGGACCATTTTGTCTGTCATAATAGCCGATCATTCCGATTGGTATGAGGAAAAATGAAATGTCGCGAAATGTACTATGAATAGCGAAGTGGAGAATTTCGCAATTCAAACATATTCAAATGAAATTATCTTATCCGTCAATTAATCGCGCCCTTCGGTTTTTATTAAGCATTTGGGTTATTATGTATGTTACTGCTGTACCTATAAATAGAAGGATGACCTTAACATTGTGAAAGTCCGAAAATCTATTTATAGAAGTAGTTTTAGATTAACGATACGGTCATTCGTGTCGCGCTATACGAACTGGAGAATTTTGCAGAAACATGTTTAAACAATTAATTGCACTCTTTATAAATCTATAGAAAAAATCTAAGTAGGCCATTTTTACGAATTGTTATATCATAGTATTATCATTTTGAAATTGTATTTTCCGTAGGTCTCTCGGTATTCTTTTTTACGGCCCTGATTGCACTTATGACATTTTTACCGTAATTATTTTAATATACCTAGTTCATAACTTAAAATGTCGCTTTTATTTTGACGCTGTGCGACAGTAAACAGGTCTTGCAGTAATATACTATAAAACATATTGGCTGTTCAAGTCTCTTTAGGTAACAGTTCTATATTTTGTTTGAAGGCAATCGATTTTATTGTAGTTTGTGTGGAATGTTCATTTGCCGAATATTGTGACATTCTAACAACAGAAACTTTCGTATGCAATTTTAACATGAGTTGTTATGGGTTTATTCACACTGGTAGGTCAGACGAGGTTTATGAAGTAATTCATTAAAACAGTAGATTGACCTCCCGATAAATCAATTAACAAACTTTGTTCATTTTGACTACTATTTTGTGTTTGTTCCAAAGAAAATTACACATGAACTTGAAATTTTATCAGATAACCAATATTAATGATAATATCCAAAAATAACCTCTATATAATATACTTAATAAACTTATACCATATAGGCGGGTATATTTTTGATATTATAGACCTGTTTATTTTGGAGATTATCGTTAGTATTGATATAATTTCAAGTTCCGTGGAAAAACATTAATATTCTAATCTCTATAGCATGCCTACCAAAGTTCATGATGAACAATGTCTTTTGTCTGTCCATTCATAATTGATATACAATTCTGGTAAAAGCCAATTAACCATTGAAAAGTTTATAAGAATATCTGGTCATCAGATGTCTACTAGTTTATCTTCACTTGCTGCATTATTTGCTTGGACGCCCTTTGATGCTTTGCATCAATGCTTTTCTTGTTTTATATTAAAAGGTAAATTATTACTACGCACTGGACAACTTGCGTTTGAATCAGAAGGACTATTTGCTTGGTATAACGTCATGGTGTGTACGGGGAAACCCCCAGCGAAGATTCGTCCGCCGCGTATTATACCAATGGTGAAGGGAGTAATACGTCGGTATTACATAGGTGTTGTAGAAGGTGACTGGGATTATTGCCCGGACAAAATAGATCCGATAACCGGTGAAACTCTTTTTAATCCTGACAAGTAAGTCGTTTTTCAGTTTTGTAGAGCTATAGTTTTATAATTGAAAAATAACTAGTAAGAAAGAAACCTTGTCGCATTCTATATTTTCAGCGCTGGTGGAATGGTCCGATGGTTAAAGCTGTCTGAAAGTAAATATAAAAATAGCGATATTGATCACCTCGATCTCTTCGCAACTTAAACTTTTATAAAGAGTGTTTGTCAAAGATAAAAGTGACATCAATCGAATATGGTTCTACATTATCTTGTCGTTAACAACTAGAAATAAACGTATTTCACAAATCAATATGTTTTGTTTTCTCAAATTCAATTGTTAATTTATAGTTTTAGAAAGTAAAGCAGGAGACACAAGTTATGTTTATGGTCTTACATCTAATCGTAGTACACCCTCCCTACTACACCTAATGAATTAAAATAGTAATGTAAGTTAACTAACTAAAGTATTCAATTGTTTCTATTTCCAATCAGACCGGCCTACAAATATGTCCGAGACGATCCGATGTTTGTTGGGAGCATTTATTACAAGGCAATCTACAGAGAATTTACCGACGAATCTTTCCTCCATTTAAAAAAGAGGAAACCTGAAGATGAGCATCTAGGAATGTTAGGACCATTTATCCGCGGCAATGCTGGGGATACTATTGAAATAGTGCTAAAGAACTTCGCTAAATACCCTTACAATATTGTTCCAAGAAACGTAGTATTTAAAGATGGCGCACCAATCACGTCAGCTTTACCGACAATGCCAGGTAAAACCCGTATATACCGTTACCTAATTCCGGAAAGATCCGCCCCTCTCCCAAGCCAACCAAACTGTGTTGGTACCCTGTACGCGTCTCGAGTTACACCAATGAATGATACGTACAGCGGGTTGTTTGGACCAATGGTGATTTGCAAACCTGGAGTACTTGATCTTTCTGGGAGGAGAACCGATAAGGTAACAAAGGAGTTTGCAACTGCCTTTGTGATTGTGGATGAAAATAGAAGTAACTATAGAAACTTCAATTTTAGAACTCGAGCTCCTGCTAGAATGAACACATCAAATGTTGAGTTTGTTAGAAGTAATAGTTATAGTACTATTAACGGATATATCTACGGTAATCTAAAAGGACTAGTATTTAATCAAGGCGAGGAATCTGCGTGGTATATATTTGGACTAGGGTCTATTTTTGGTATCCATACTGTGCATTTCCATGGTCAACTTTATTTACGGACAGCTTCTTTAACATTGAAACGAGATGTGCTAGAAATATTCGCGGGAACTTACGAGACTGTTGAAATGAGGGGATATAATCCGGGTACTTGGTTGTATCATTGTCACGTGAGCTTGCACACAGCCGATGGTATGAAAGCAGTGTACACGGTGTTACCAAGAAAAACACCAATAAAAAGAAAAATCACTTTTGGTATGTATTTCCTTCAGTTGATAAATATATCAGAATATGCACAAAATTACATATTTTTGCTCTTTCATTACCATTCGCATTGTTGTGTAGTATTTTGAGGTTATTGTTCATTGCTGAGAACAATACTGAATTCTAATGGACGAGTACCTAATTGTTAAATCTTTGTTACACGAGGCCCAGCTGAGTCCAATAGAGGATTTGCGTACGTGTACGAGTCCAATAGAATATGTAAGGTATTCAACAATGTATGATGAACTCTTTTTCACAACACCAATTCTATAGGAAACAACAGTAAAATTAAAGAAACCACTTTAAATCAATGTTCAGTGTTCTCTTATTATATTAAAGATACAGTTACGACGTGTACAATATGGATTTTATATGGAACATTTGGACTTGGAAAATGAAAACGATGCTAAATTCTGTTCAATACGGATCTGATATGTTTTTTTAACTTAGCCAGTGATAAGAGACTGAATGAAGTGCATTTAATATGCAATTGATACAGATAATTTGGACTCGGAAAATGAAACCGAGGCTATATATACTTATCAGATTCGATCCAATAATCATTTATTTTGGAATATGACGTAGGGCAACTGCACGGAGATAGATCTATAAGATATAAGATAGTAATATAATATTATATTAATTTCATAAATTTAAAAATGTTGATATCCTATAATGTTTATGTGTATTCTAAGCTAAATGAGGGTCTATTCGCCCTTTCAGGCATTGAGAGTACGGACGACCGATGTCGCAATAAATGTGATTCTGCTATTCAGTATTAAACTTTGACTACACATATATATTGGTTTGAATATGTTGTGGGTTAAGCGTTATTTGATTTTATTACAGGAAAACATAAACAATTAGGAACTGATTTTGGTATCAAGACTTTTTCGAATTTGAAAGGATTCCATAAGGTATGTGTTGTTCTTTTTTTTTCCTGGTGGTGTTAAGGAAATTTAGTGACTTGCTTACTTTATGACGCCAAATATACGCAATGTTTCTCTCCGTGCATTATGTAATTTATTTAATGGCGCTTACTACATTTTGTATCATCACAAGACACATGTGTTGCTAATATGACTGTATTGCTATTTTTCTACAGATACAGTATATTTTTATAAAGTAGTCAGGACTATCGATTCTATAGACAATAATTTGAAACGGTCGTTCAACGTTTTTCTATCGAAAAAGTTAACAATTTTGCAGCGCGTTTTCATTCTTTTATTTTAGTTGTTGTTAAAAGACATTATAACGTGCTTATGTTTAAAAGCTAGTTTGAAGTTATTTCTTCTTTCCAGATTGGTATATAAATACCTGAGCATCAAAATGGAGGAGCTAGGGAATGGCTATAATATAATTTAGTTTCTTAATTTAACACTTATACCTTTGTTTATTAATGATATTCATTAAATATGCATTTTATAGTGCTACTCGACAACAGACATAAATAAATAAATTATTAATCTTTAAATCACCTTTAGTGTTATATCTCAGTGTTCTTTTTAATAAATGGACATACGAAAAATTGTACATTGTTGGTTAGACCACTGACTGTCACTCCCGAGGTTCCGGGTTCGATCCTGGGTAACACCCTTTGGATTTTTCAGAAAACTTTCAGTGTTTCTCACCTATATATACCGAAAGGTACACTTGTAAGAAACCCAGGTAATCCTCGCATACATGTATCAGTGCTATACACTGGGCATGTAAAACAACCTGCAAGGGGTCTATTCAATAAGAACTAGGAACTTGTTTCTGGATTCCCTTGTATCTCATAGCTCTCTCTGGACACTGCTGAGGTATGGACCCTACTGGAAATTAGTGCTTGCACTTTTGTAGCTTATCCTTGACTGGTGATCAGTAATCAGTATTTTTTAAATTAAGTCCTTGTGATGACATATAACCAGCAAATAGCGTCACACAATCAGTCCATCACTAAGTTATAACGGTACCATGATAATCTTCTACTAGTGGTTATAAAACATCTCTATCTGTGCATCATAAATGTTATAAACCGTTTGTTTTGTACAACTGAAACAAATTGGTACAATTTAAGCCATCATCTAATTGGACAGGCGATTGTTGTCTAATCGTAAATTGTCTCTCTGTCAAGTAAAAACTTTTAAATGACGTGGGGATTTCTTGAAATTTACATGGAAATATTTGTATTTATCACGATTGACTTTCAAATCCCTTTGGGCATAAAATTGCAACGTTACAACATAGGCAACAAATGCTTGATATTTTAACGCCAGTTTTTTTTTTGTGTTTTTTTTTGTCTCATTACTTAGTAATTTGTGACATGCGATAAAGTAACCATTTTTTTGTAGTGAGAATCCCGGCTATTCCAGCCCTGTTGGAATCTAAAAAGATTCTTTGCCATCAGCGACGCCAGGTCGGCTGTTTAATTGTTGGTTACTCAATTTACGTATTTTTAATTTAAACGGACTGTTCAAAATTCATATCTAGACAAATCCATTACAAATCAAAGCACAGAAGGCGCTGAATTTGTTTGGGTCTCAGAATGTCAGAAAGGTGAAGATTGTGAGATTATAAACCAATTTGTTTGTAAAGTGTCACCAAATTCTGTTTCCAGTGTTATAACTATAGTAAATTGGCTATAAGACTAATTGCAACACTGATATTCAATTCAATGTTTATTTGGCTTAATCAATTAAACCTCTCGTTTCTAAAGCGAGCGTGTAAACCCCTCGACCACGGGGAGTTATAAGATAACAGCCTGAAGAATACCATATTATTCTTACTTAGAGTTTGTAACCCTTATTAATTTCGAAATATTTTGTTCACGGTAAACCTGTTGTTTAACACTGAAGTAAATAATCATGGAGCTGAATATAAGCATGAATATCTATAAGAATTACACAATATTAGAAATCTTCGACCAATCGGGAACTATTTTTTCGTTACGAAAATTAATGCGCCAGTCATTTGACAATCTTTACGCAGTGATCTCCCCTTAATTTTTCGGCGTCAATGTACATATGAAGGGAAGTAACCGCTTCGATGAGTTTGGACTACTTTCGGCATTTGCAAATAAGAACATCCGGGTCTGAAATTTCGCTACCATTATTTGTTTGGTCTGACGACCCAAACAAATGAAAATCAGCACATTCACGCCCGTTTAACTCACAACGAGTGAAAAATGTCCATCGGTAAAAATGTTGTGAGCAACTTCCGTTCCTCGTTGTGAGCACCCATCTATGACGTGTGACACGATAAACAAGGTGAGTTTTTCATAATTTTTGAAGATTACAGACATTTATGTAAAAATATCGGAATGCAGTTAGCTAGCGATGTGTTTTCCGAGTATGCACATGTAAAGATATTGCCTGTTGGTGGACAATTTGATGGAAATACCGTGCGACGCAGTCACTCGGGGTAGCTGGAAAACTGGAGACAACTTCTCTTTGGACCTAATTTAACATTGAAAACGTCGATTCTGGTGACGTTTTGTGCATTCTAACCTAAAACAGACGCCCACAAGTCTTCAGCGTAAATTATTACCTGAAAGTCTTCGTAGAAACGGAGATATACCCTTTTTTGCTTTAATCCTCGTTGTGAGCACCATAACCTCGTTGTGAGCAAGACAAGCGCAGTGCTTGTCTGGTTTTAATATGTAATTCAAATGGCGAGAATACAATTTTCAATCTACCAAAAGCAATCAAAACGTTTTTGTACAATAGTTTTTCTTTGCAATAGTTCTTCTTTTTTTTTTTTTTTTTTTTTTTTTTTTTTTTTTGAAAATTATTCTTCATATTCATAGTCATCAGATAAACAGAAGAACTAATCAATGGAGCTAAATCAGGTATTTTATTTCTTATACTCTAGTGTGGCACGAGTGAACATCACGGGGAGTTTATGAATATTTCAACAATTTCACAGTCTGTGTGATACACACATACGTGTGTTTATCCTGAGCTGAAGACTGACCAAGGTATATAAAACAAGAACTGTCAAGGTAAGTTGAAATGCCCCTTTGATTTATGGACCAGATAGATGATTTGTTTTTGGACAATTAGATCTTCAATGTGAAGGTCTTTCAAGGTCAAGGTGAAATAAATATAGGTCAGTTGGAAAGTCTTGTCCAAAGGGGGCATTGTGTCCAAATATGAATTAATTCTACTTACTAATAAAGAAGTTATGACCAATGTTAAAGATTTTGGATGTTCTAGAATGTTATTCAGGGTACAAGGTAAAAAAACAAATCAGTTTGAAGGTCTTGTCTAAAGGAGTGTTGTGTCAAAATATGAGTATAATCCGTATACTTATAAGGAAGTAATGACCAATTTTTAAGTTTTTGGACAATTTGACATTCATGGTGAAGGTCATTCAGGGGTCAAGGTCAAAAGAATATAGGATAGTTGGAAGGCCTTGTCCAAAGAGGTGTTGTGCCTAAACATTATGCCAGGACATTATGGCCAATCTTAAATGTTTTTGGACAATTTGACCTTCAAGGTAAAGGCCATTCAAGGGTCAAGGTAAAAAATACAGGTCCGTAGGAATGTCTTATGCTAAGGGATGTTGTGTTCAAATATGAATCAAATCCGTTTATTAATAAGGAAGTTATGGCCAATGTTAAAGTTTTCGGACGGATTGACGGACTGACAGACGGACAGGTCAAAACTAATATGACTTCCTTTGGGGTATGCACAACGTCTTGCAAAGAAATGCTGCTGTGCAAAAACGTTTTAATTGCTTTGGTAGATTGAACATTACATTTTCACCATCTGAATTACATATTAAAACCATACACGCACTGCGCTTGTCTTGCTCACAACGAGGTTATGGTGCTCACAACGAGGATTAAAGCAAAAAGGGTATATCTCCGTTTCTATGAAAACTTTCAGATAATAATTCACGCTGAAGACTTGTGGGCATCTGTTTTAGGTTAGAATGCACAAAACGTCACCAGAACAACGTTTTCAATGTTAAATTAGGTCCAAAGAGAAGTTGTCTCCAGTTTTCCAGCTACCCCGAGTGACTGGGTCGCACGGTATTTCCATCAAATTGTCCACCAACAGGCAATATCTTTATATGTGCATACTCAGAAAACACATCGCTAGCTAACTGCATTCCGATATTTTTACATAAATGTCTGTAATCTTCAAAAATTATGAAAAGCTCACCTTGTTTATCGTTTCACACGTCATAGATGGGTGCTCACAACGAGGAACGGAAGTTGCTCACAACATTTTTACCGATGGACATTTTTCACTCGTTGTGAGTTAAACGGGCGTGACATTGCAGGTAAAATAATACGGATGTAACCATTCTATATAATCTGATTGGATTATCATAGGTCGATTAAAACTTCCTTGTTCGTTTAATTTCCTTGTAAACTGCAATGATTATTTTGTTTCTAGATGATAAAGATACATTACTCATAAAACTGTTGGATTATTTGTGACATAATTATGCCAGGGGGTATAAAACCAGACATGCAAGCACATGATTATGTTATACAGTGCGCTGCTTGGTTGTAGAATTTTTTTAACTAAGTTAAAGCTGGACAAATGTATTACTCAAATTTACGGAAGTTTAAAGAATTGATCTTTATATCTGTTTTCATAATACTGGCTTCATGGTTCATGCTTGTTTGTTTTCTGGTGTTTTTTACGCCGATGTAAACACATTTTGTTTAGTCTTATCAAATGTAACATGTAGGCAATTCTTAATATATCAATTTAACTGGTTATTGACAAATTAATTGTCAGTTCAAGTTAATTTAAAAGGTCAGTGTTATTTTTACTTTTGCTGTAACAGTATTAACCAAGCCACATACAGGGATTTCTGATGTTCAAAAACAAGAGGTTATATCTTCCTCGCCTAAATCTTCACCAGCTATTGAACGTTATAGTCAATAACCTTCCCGTTTGACCTCTTGAAACAAAAACAAAAAACATTGTCTGTCACAGTTCTTAATTCTAGTATGAAGTGTGTATCTACAACTCTTCTGTCTTACATTCTAATGAGTTATGAATATACCCTTTCTTTCTAAACTAACATGGAATTGTTGAAAGTGTATGGGACACAGAGACTTTGTTCCAGTAAACAACGTTACATGAAATTGTGGATAGTGGACACATTGCTTTTAAACTTTGTTCCAGATGTTTGTTTGTTTGGGTTTTACGTCACATCAAGACAGTATAGGTCATATCGCGACGTTCCAGCTTTTCTGGTGGAGGAAAACCTCAGGTGCCCTTCCGTGCATTATTTCAGGCACCGACGTTCCGTAAGCTAGCTGGATAGCTTCCTCACATGAAAGAATCCAAAGTCGCTGTCGGGATTCGAACCCACAGCGGTGACAGGCAAGTGGTTTGAAGTCAACGACCTTAACCACTCGGCCACGCACGCCCCTACTGTTTGTTCCAGATAACATCGCTACAAACGGGATATTCGATATAATAAGTTACATTCTTAATGGCCAAAATTTTCTTCAGTTGTTGATCAGAAGTTGTATAACAGTTTTATAAGTTAGCATCATAAGTGTCACACATCAATGTGGGACACCTGTCAGCATTACTGTTAATGTGTGACACAGCTACCAGGACCTTTGACCTCTTAAAATATGGATATTCTCTTCCACACCTATACTCATCTATAATGTTTTCACAACTATGTATTAAATAGCTCCATTGTTCTTCACTTCATTGTTATTTTAATGAAAGCTATTATTATTATTATTATTATTATAATTATGTCATACATTTCCGTTCACACACATTTAAAGATAGCGACGAAAACTATTGAATCAAATGTTCTTTATTACAAAAATAGTTCTGTTCATAAAAGAAAGGTACAAATGTGCATGTATACAAAAATGGAATAACGGTTTTAACTTTAAAACATTACACTAACAATATGTAGAACTGTTTTTTTTTTCATTTCAAAAGACTATATGTGACAATCTCTAAGAAAACTACCTCAAGACTAATAATCTCAGATAAAAAGTGAAAGAAAAGTGAAATACTTAAAAACAGGAAATTGTGAGATATGGAAAATGTTATTTTCTTATTCTTTGAAAAATATGCATTTTTTTTTACAAATGATAGTCAAATTAATTTCTTAATAGGCTTTACTATACATTATTTGTGTATATATATTTATTAAAAATCTACATTATTCAATAAGACAACAACAAAAAACAAACTGATACAACTTATTCATTTTTTTCTGCAGCAAACTGAAAAGCGACAAAAAATATCATTATCATTTCTATGCATTGTATATATTTATGACTCTTCAAAGATATTTGGTCACATGACTACAAAAACTGTGGGAAAACAAAATAAAAATCTAATGACACTTCCTTGATTTAATGTAAAAAATATCAGTATTAAATTGTTCAGCTAGTTTAAAAGAAAATGAAGAAAATACAACATGTAAAGCTTAAGAAATTAATCTATTATTATCTGTCCTCTAAATACATGTGCATGTTTATATTTTATGACCAATTTCACATAGGAAAATATATCACTCAGACTTTGGACAGATTAGCTTTCATCTTAGACCTTTCAAACAATATCTGTACAAATAACACCTCAGGAATGCTAAATCTCCAGTCAAGTGTAACTTAAAACTTCACTTCCTGGTTGCACTAGTACAAACAAAATAACAAAAACAATCTGAAACTTCTAAAAACTTTAAATCAATATTATGTACTTGTTTACTTACATAATGAGTCACCACTGATAGGGAAGAAAACTTAAAATGCACATATCAGATCCTTTTATAAAATCAGATGGAAAAAAATACATAAATAAAGAACAACATAATTATACAATGCAGTTTTTTTTATATATTCATCCAAGTTTATATAAACTGCATGTATGGAACATAAAAATAAATTTAACAAGTACACAGTCATTGTAAATTCATTACAACATTGTAATAATCTTGTAATAACATTGTAATAATCTTGTAATAACATTGTAATAATGTTGTAATAACAGTGTAATAGTGTTATAATAACATTGTTATAATGCTGTAATAACATTGTAATAGGTTTGCAATAACATTGTTATAATGTTGTAATAATGTTGTAATTGAAATAACATTGTCATAATTTCAATTGTTGTAATAACACTGTAATAGTGTTTAATAACATTGTAATTATGTTGTAATAACATAAAAGTTTTGTAATAACACTCTTATAATGTTGTTATAACATTGTAATAACATGTTCTCAGGATTTAATGACTTATTACAGAGCTACAATAAATCATTATAACATGTACACAGTGACCTATGATCAACTATGATACATTCACATGATACATACATGAACAATGGTGCAGTGAGTCATCTAAAAACAATAGTATAGGCATATATAACTGATGTCGATTCTTGTATACAAGTGCCTCTTTCCCTTTACATTTTAACATAACAAAACAACAGCTATTTCACTCCTGTGCTGCGGTTTATGTGATAAATGTATGTTTAACATAGTAAGTAACAGTAAATTAGGTCAACACTACATGTATTCTCTATCCCTGGGAATTTCTCTTGTAAACTGAATTATTTTATTCAAAAACAAAGTATCAAATTATAATTCAGATAATCAAATTGAATAAAATACATCATATTAAAGGTGTATTTGATTGAAATAAGGTAAAATAAACTGAGATTAGTAATTCTCCTCAGATCAGGACCTTTCCATGGCAGAGTGACTAGGATATAGTGTTAAAAACTAGAGTAGTAGACACAGTTTTCACAGAATTTCTTTTAAGGGTATAAAGCTATATATCTAATGCAACAATTATCAATTAATTTTGAAAAAGAATACTTCCAAAATACCCCTTTTACCATATTGCCTTAAGTGAGAATGGTGCATGCATTAAATCATTGCTTAATGGTTAAAACCCTTCTTAAAATAGCAGCATAATATTTTGAACCAGAACATTTTTATGACCAATAATCATATAATAATGTTAGATAATACAGACATTCTATTGGGAAAGAACATATTTTTACTGTTAATAAAATCTATAAATTATTTCATGAAATACAGCTTTATACACTTTGAGATAAAAGTTTAACAGAACATTCCAAAATATATGCATTATTATAAATTATCTTATATAAGTCAGTGAGCTTAGTTTTCATACAGATCAATAATTATATTCAACATGTTTTTATCCCCCCCCCTTAATTTTATTTAAAGCAACACACCCTCGAATACCCTTTAATTTTCTATAAATTTTAAAATTATTCTTATCATAATGAATTAAGGTTGAGAATACCATTAAAATGTGATTTAAAACCACATGAGGGTGCTTAAGGCATTTGATAGCCCAAAATAATCACCTCAAATAACTCAAAAGAAGAGCCCTTTATCAATTAATTATCATTTGCAATCATGATAGTAAAACTATTAAACTTTAGGTCATATTATTATTGTCCTCGATTTGTGATTAAACATTGCTTAATCTATTTATATAGTTAAATGTTATTATCAATGTGTTTACCCATCAGAAGATGTGCTGTTTTAAATATTATAGCATACATAAGTGCTTGGAATTATATTGTGTAACTTCAGATCAAACTTTATAAGCTGTTGTTTTTATTATTGGTGACCTGTTACAAAATCTCTGCTGGTATGACAAGGCACCAAGCATCAGTTTTTGAATCCATCATTTCTTCCCACTTGATTGCGAGTTTTATCTGTTGAAAAAAAGGATAATATACAATAATCTGTATGTCACAGGGACAAAAATTTTTTCATTGGGTGTAAACAAAGAAACTCTTATTATAAGTTATATGAAATTTATTCCAAAATTAAAATGGGCACAGTGTCTGTACTGTGTACAAATATTATTTCAATATACTGTAAATTGAAATCAAGTCAATCTGTAATATCTGCATAATGATCAGGTAAATTTTATATCTTACTAGCAAGAGTAATAATATCTGTCATATGTTGCGATTTGGATCGGAATATCCGTCCCGAGGTGACCCGCTCATTGGGCGGTAACGAGGCTTGCCGAGTTACTGCCCATGGGCGGGTGACCGAGGGGTGGATATTCCGATCCGAACCGCAAACATATGTCAGATATTTTTTCTTGCATATTCTACCATATTCCATTATATTTTAAATTCTTTATCTTCATTTTCAATGGAAATTTATATTATAACAACCGTAACTACTTTTTTTACAACAGCGTATGAAATTGCAACTTTATTCATAACGATAAAATGAAGTCATCCTAAGCGTGCCATTGTACAGCACGCGACTCATCTGGCACCCCCCATGCCAGATGAAATTTCCGGCATGGGTAAAACTAACAGAAATGCCAGTCTGCTATGCAAGAAATGACTGTAAAGACTGATTGGGACAGGAAAAGTACACAGTGTGCAGATGTTATAAATATTTAAAAATAACCAATGAATTTTACAACAGACGAAACGATTGAACAAGTACAATTCAGAATGAGTGACCAGTGTTATCAATATTGCACAGGTGAGCTTGACAATGTACATCAGTGCCTGTGATAGAAATTGTTGAGCTTCACCGCTTCAATGTCTTCCTCAGAACAGAATGATACTCTCATGTTTAATAAATCATATGACAAAACAGTCAACAATACATATCATAAATATTATTGAATATTTTTTTACATCAATATATACACCATCTTTAATACAAAACATTCAACACCCAGAACATTTTCAGGTGGTCTTGAAGTATCATTCAAAAATAAAATGGTTTTGTACAATACAAATGCCTTTTTTCTATCTTCATGTCTGTAAGTACTGTTTTAACTTATTCACCTTCCCATTTTAGCTTTGTGGTTCATTTCATATCAACCAAATTCTTTGGAATATATAGTATTCAGAAAGTTTCATCAAAAAGAGACAAAATAACTATAAGACTATTCTCAGTCATCGAATTTAGCACTGGCCCGGTGGCCCATGGCCAGTAAAAATTAGTTCGGGCCAGTGTTAATTTTAAGAAAATTTAGTTAAATATATAGTAGAATAAATTCAAAACTGGAATTCGGGCTATCTTAAATTCAATGACTGCTATTCTCCCATCAGTAAATATGGGAAAGTTACTTTAATGACCTTTACAGTATAAGTGAGACTTTAAAAAATATTGATGAATAATAAAAATACTTACTGAAGGGTAGATTTTCTTGACTGGAATCTGTGTTGTAAATGTGTATGTTTTACCAGCAGCCAGTGGACATCCACCTTGAATACCATCGCAACCATTTGTATCAATGCCATTAAATGGTACTGGTATTCCTCCAATTATCCCATGACAAACAGACGTTATACTTTTAACCGGTTTATCTAAATAGAAAAATGGAAGGAAGATCATTTATAGAATAAATCTATGACAAAATATGATCACTTCTGAAACAAGTATCAAGTCAAATATATGGCAAAAATATGACCACTTATGAAACATGTGCTAAGCATAAATCTATGACAAAAAGGGGATAAAGATTTTCCTTTGATATATGCTATAAACTTTAAACCAAGTCAACCAATATTCTTACTTGGATTATCAACCAATTTCTTAGAGTGTGAACAAGGTTTTTCTTTCACTTTACCAAATGACCTAATTTTATTTTTTACACAAGATTATTCAACTAAAAGATTGTCCAAAATATCTTTAAAAAAAAAAGCAGCAAAGTTTTATATTTGCTATCTCTAACACTCTGACACTTTGCTTTTCTTTGGCGTGACCTTACTTTTTACCTAGATTATTAAACCATGTCAAAGAAATCATAATGATAAATTCTGACAAACATTTTGATGTCCTTGAAACTAAATCAACATCGGCTATTAATTGCAACATTACAAACAATGAAAACATACTTGTTGCCTAGCATTAACAAAACTTTAGCAATCATAAAATCAGTCAACAAAGGAGGCTCTAATAGTCATTCTAAATAAATCTGATTACATACATTAGGCTAGCAGAAGGTCTTAGACAACTTGAAGGCAAGCACATATATAGAACAACACTTATCAACATAAGCAACAAAGCTACTAGAGAGATAAAAATGTTTCTGATATATTCTAGAAAACATTCACTAATAGAAATAAATCTGAAGTACACCAACAACCTTATTCTAAGAAATTGCAGAACGCCTATCTTCTACCTATTACTTAAAATACATGTTCATAAGCCTACATCAAAAATTAATTACCTGCTTGAAATGTGACAGATAAGGTAGAATTTTCTGCCTTTTTCAAGATGCACATTTGCTCAGTCTCCATGTCCTTGCCATTACAAATAACTTTTGTTATCTTTGCTGAACCACCACCTGTAAGATACAATAAAAACAAATTAATAAAAATAAAAAAAACTTGAATAAAAAAAAATTCTTAGGTCTATTTCTAACATTGATGATCAACTTCAAGAAGTATTATATCACTGGGTTTATGACACTGACATGCTATTTAAGCAGCATAGGGCTCCCTTCAACTAGTAAACATTCAATATAAGTGATAGTCATTTTGAAAGTGTCAGTTTTCCAACAAACAATTTTCACTCTAAATAAAGTAAATCACTATACCCTGCCCTGCAAGACTATAAAATTCATTGCGTTCCATATCTTGGGAGTACATTTAAGTACATTAAAACTGTTACGCACCTGTCAATTGCTTTAAAGGGATAAATTTGTGTTCATTGGAATCAATGTGACAAAGGCTTAATGTAGATTTTCTTCACTTAAATGCATATAATTTTTTTAATCTCCTATCATATCTCCTCTTTAGTATATAATAGCTAGGCTTCATTTAGTTAGAAACTAAATGCTTGTGGTAAATGGTGTAAAATTAGCAGTAGTCCTATAGCCCCAGACTACTAAATTTCTTCTCAGGCTACCAATTTTTCACAGTAACAAGCCCGACCAGGCTACTGTATTTTCAGACGCAATATAAACAACTGTTTTGAACAAATAAATCGGGCTAGTGAAATGTCTTTTGGGCTAGTGAATATTCTATAATTCCAATCTGGTAGTCCTACCAGCCTAGTTGATTTAAATCCTAATTTCTTACACTGTAAATGCGAGAAATACAAAGCAAAGTGATAGATTTTAACAATCCTTTTGAATCTCTTTATGGTCTAAAAATAATCAGGGACTTAAAAGATCTAAAAATACGACATTTTGCCATCCAGATGAGATTACTTGGCCCTTTTAACTTGGTAGATTTCTGCCATACATAAGCAAATGGGTTTAAACTTTCATTCATTGCTGATATTAAATTACATCACATTACATCAAGGACTTTTAATTAACATGTAATTAAATCTTCCCAATTTTCATGCTTTTTATATTTGCAACTACATTTACTTTTTCATTACTTCTTTTGATGCCATTAAGATGGCAGTGTAACAGTATGTATTGGTAAATTTTCACATGTCTATTAAACATGTAAGAAAATACAAAAGATAGTCTAACCCTAGAAACACATTATGCAATTATAATAGGAAACTCAAAGAGCAGGCCCTAGCTAACAACCAAAGTTGGGGTGGCAAAATCAATTGTCTGTATTGCCAAGGATGTCATATATCATACAGATAAGTTAAGAAATGCTTCATATATTTTAGACTATCAAGTCAAAATCTGATTTTGCCATTTCCGTCAATCTACTGGTCGGAGACCATCAACCGGACACTTTTGGAACATTTTTCCGTACAGATTTCATAAATTTTAACCTAGAGACCAAAAAATTTGACACAGTTCAGCTAGGTTCTTCTCCTATCTAAGAAACTAGTTTGTTTATTTCTGATTGTATTGACACTTATTATTATCAGAGGCTCGACAAGGAGGGTATCAAAATTACCTAAATTGTCTACACTACAGTACCAATGTGTCCGGACAGATAATATGCACATGACGTGATTTAATTCAGATAAAAGCTTGGATGTTTTGATTTTTAACATGATATTCAATATGTCAGCAACAAATGCTGAAGTTTTGGATATTCTACTATTCAATCAGCAAATGATTTTAGCTGGTATATGAGGTCAGGCATTGCTTTCTTGACCCCCAAATTTCAACGTCAACATTCTTGAAATAGACATTAAAACATTACCATTTACGGAAGTTGAAATAAATTTATTTACTTAATTTTTAAAGAAACATGCAGTTATTGTTGATAAAAAAAGTGACTTGACAACCATTGAACAAAGAAAATACTAAATTAAGCATTTCCGGGGCTGTCCGGGTTTGGTGGTTGTCCAGTTTTGGTGGTCCCCAACCAGCATGGGATCATGAAATATGGTGGTGTTGAAAGTTTACCCTCTGGTCACATGACTGCCACTGTATTTTCACACTTAGTCAACTGTATAATCATCAGTTTAAAATGACATTTTTACAATACAGTACAATACTGTTAACAAATAGAATATATCTAGAATTACAAATTATGTTTTCATTTACGGCCAAAATGTTCAATCAACGGTCAAAGCATTCTTATTTCAGCTACAGATGACCTAGCTGAATTTCCTTATGAAGTTATCAGGTTATGTAGAAAGTTTACAGTGTAACATTATCAGTGATTTAATAAATATGACAAAATTGACAGTTGTTTTATCAAATAAATATGCCACTTACATGGTGCAAATTTTCCATTTACTATAACAGCAAATGATAAAGATAAACAAAAAACGATCCCAAAGATATTCATCATCCTTCCAACTAATGACGAAAAATGGTACGATTAGATACCGGTTGGTTCCTTGTTTGGAAGGTTTCCGGAGTACGTCAATTACCGGATGCGAAGCACGCAGGGGACCAGTCTAGTCATACCAATCGACGGTCACCGCGAAATCGCGGTCTTTTCCGTTCTTAAAAGACCGCCATAGAAGACTAAAAAGAACTCGGATCCGATCTTCGGATGAAAAAATGATAAGCCCAACAAATTATGCGCTTGAGGGCTTTTTATTATATGGACGATGTTCGCCCTTCGCCCGACATCTGTGTAATTTTAATTTGTAAAATTTTAATTAAGAAATAATTAAACATGATGACTTATACCATGACAATTTTAATTACCAACGTCCTCAGTGAAATGCCCATCAGTGAGTTATACCTTGATAACTGTTTATATAAAGAACCGGTGTCAGAGTAGAGCAGCCGAATGACCATCAAATACAAGTGCTTTCCTCCTCATCGTGCTATGCCTTCGTGATGGCGAACAGCAGTGTTGATCAAGCACTACTCATCTGTGAGGGTTTCCATCGTGTCAAACAGGGAAAAGACAAAGCCAATTGAACTCTTTATCTGCAGCCTTGCTGAAACCGTCTTCCAGAGAATATCAATATCATATGATTATACATTATTGGTATTCATGACTTGAAGAAAATACATATTTTTGGAATTGTTATGATATCAAGATCAGATAACTCTTTACATGTTAAGTTGTACAGTTAATGGGATTACTTCCCTTTACTTGATATTCATTAGTGCTATGTTATATATATGATCATGCCTCTCTGATACCAGGGTCATTCTCACTTGAGCTCTGGTCTTAACAACATGTATTAAATGGTTATAATAAATTGTAGAATAGTTTGAATCTTGTTATCATCCATACAACATAACATGGTGTCAGAAGTGGGATAATGTGGCCTATGGATTGCCTTATTAAGGTCTTTAGGATCAATTACAATTCTAACTTTATCAGAATGTGGCTTATCAATTATAAATTGACTACGACCATACTATTCACCCAATTTGTTGGTGTGGTGACCTTGGCTATGATTCCAGCCTTTTCCATAGCATCAAGTTCCATTTTAACCTTGCTCTGAAGAGCTACAGGAACGCGTCGGGGAGGATGAATTACTGGAGAGTACTTGGGATCTACTTTGATCGAACAAGCACCAGGTAATTTTCCAAAGCCATGAAAAACTTCAGGAAAGTCACGCAAGACAGAATTTTTACTCATTTGCTCATTCTGGTCTACGGACATTACAATTTGAATTAAATTGAAGTCAAGGCATGATTGTAAACCTAGGATAGAGGGTTTGTTTGTTCTCACAACATAAAATTCTACAAGTTTTGTGCATTTATTTTTATAGCTGCATGAGAGATCTACTACTCCTAGAACCTTAATTTCAGTGCCTGAGTAAGCAGTGAGTTTGACAGTTGGCTTCTTTAAGGGGGTATTGACCTTGAGGGATTTGAAATCTGCCTCAGAAAGGATGTTACAGCATGCCCCTGTGTCAAGTTTAAACTGTTTAAAATGACCTTTAGAGCCCACCTGTAAATCAACAAATACCTGTCCCTTTGAATGTGAATCAACTGCACCAATACAAAATTCACTGTCACTGTTACTGTCACTGTTATTGTTTCCGGTTTCGATTTCATGCACTTTTTTGTTTGACCTACACACAACTGCATAGTGATTCCATTTATGGCAGTTCTTGCATAGTTTTCCTCTTGCCGGACATCGATCTTTGCTGTGATGCGACTGTCCACAATTTCCACATTTTGTTATTTGTTGGTTTTGTCTAACTCTTGAATGGTGATTGTACGTGTTTCTTTCCAGTCTCGTTTTGGTGTTTTGACGTGGAATGTCGTTTGTGATTAATGTCATCAATGCTATTGGAATTAGTCATATCACGTAATTGTGCCTGTGCATATTCATGTGACTGTGATATCCTGACTGCTTTTTCGAGAGTCAATGCTTCACCTTCTGTGATAAGTTTTTCACGAACTTTTTCCGACGTAATTCCAATTACTATTAAATTTTGATTTCGTATTACATCATCTCTGTACCCTGCATCAAAAGCGCAATCATTTGCTAATATTTTTAGACGTGTGATGAATTGTTCTATCGTACTGTTTCCCTGTTTTTCATTGTGGAATTTGTATCTGCTAAATACAGGATTTGATTTTGGTTGTAGATGTTTTTGAATTGCATCCGAAATTGCCTTTATTGATTTTCTTTGGAGCTCAGTTAATGTAAGAGTATTATATATCTGGTGGCCTCTATCACCAATCCAAAGTAATAAGTAAGTAACTTGTACTTCTTCTTCTTTTTCTCTTAACGCGCCACTAAATATAAGTTCTGCATGCTGCCTAAACTTTTTGAACTCCTCCATAGGGTTCTGACTGTCCCAGTTCATTGTTGGTATGGGTACACCATTTAAATCCATTGTAGAGCTGTAGAATTAATTGATTCCTCTAAAGAAAGTTAAATATTTGTGATGCGCACAATTAAATTTCTTTCCAGAATGCTTGTTAAATCCAATTCCAAATAAATTCTTAATTAAATTCCTTTTATTACAATAATGTTCCTTTAGTTTACTTCTGACACTATGTTATGTTGTATGGATGATAACAAGATTCAAACTATTCTACAATTTATTATAACCACTTAATACATGTTGTTAAGACCAGAGCTCAAGTGAGAATGACCCTGGTATCAGAGAGGCATGATCATATTATAAACCATGTAATTGTACTGAATTTTACATTTATCAGAAAATGGGAACACACATTTTTTTTAATTAAGTCAACCCAATCCTATGTCAATCCGACCCCTCATTATTCTACTGAAAAGATATTGAAAAAGTAGTGCTAAATAAAATAATAACAAAACCTTTCTCTTCTCTGTACAATTAGAGACGGTTTTCGAAAGGGTTGTTGCAAACAGCTCTTTGGAACGGTACATGTGTACTAAGAAAACACGCATAGTTATGCATGCATACGTTCACACATAATTATTGATGTTCATATAATTAATGTGTAATAAAGCCTTTTTAAATTGGTGCAATTAAATTTACCGACACATTTTTTATAACTTTATTCTATGGTTCATAATCTTCAATTAGTAAAGTTTTATTTTTTTTTGCAAAATATGAAATGCTTTACATTATTTTTAATACTTTTTTTAAATAATACAGTATTCATTTATGAAAAAAGGAAAAAATATCATCTGAAAAAAGTAATAATTTAATTTAATAAAACATACTTTGAAAATCTATTTTGGGGCCGAATTAACGACTTTTGGGACCCGAGCTGTATTGACCAATTGGGAGCCGGGTTGACTTGGGCCCGAGTTGACTGTAATTCCACGAGGATGACGTGCATTGTAATTCAGACATGTCAGAGAGGGTCACATACTATTCATCTGTATAAACCGGCCATTATATGATTTTTTTTATTTGCAAGTTTTTCTTTAACTAATGACAACTGACAATCAAAAGGACATTTTAAGACTTATTTATTTCATATTTATAACATTTATAACATTGAATATTAACATATTCACCATCCACATAGATATGTTGTACAAGTGTTATATAAGTCTCTGGTTATACATGTAAATTTTGTTCTTTGCTTGCTATTTAGGTCACGTTATTATTCCTAAAACCACAATCGGAACATCTTCGGCTATTATCTATAATAACATCGGAAACAATACATGTGCATTGAAACTGAGGGGCGTGGGTTTAAACCCCAGACGTGGCAACTCTTTTTTTATTTTTTTTTATTTTTAACATTTTGAATCGATATGGATAGAAATTAATTTTGTGAAATGTAAACCATTTCTCTTAAACTTTGTATATAGACCCCCTGATTCAAAGCAGGTTTGGGCTGACCTGATTGAAAAACATCTTGAAATGGCTGATCAGATGAATTTAGAAATGCACATTCTAGGTGATTTTAATATACAATATAGTTCAGAAGAAGGGTTTTTAAACAATAAATGGGCATCACTTTTACTGAAATACGCTCTTAGGCAAATCATTAATAAACCTACAAGAGTGACAAAAACAGTTCATCAATAATTGATCACATTTACACAAATAATCTTGATAAAATTAATGAAAAATAAATTTGTGTCAGTGACCATTATTTAATATGTTTCACTAGAGGAAATACTAGCACACATGCAGGTAATCACAAAACTATAAAATATAGGAGTTTTGCTAAATTTGATACAGAATCGTTTCAAAGTGAACTAAGTGATTCTAATTTTGATTGTATAGAGACATTTATTGATCCAAATGTAGCTATAGAATTGTTTTATAACATGATAAATAATATTCTAGTGAAGCATGCACCATTTAAAATTAAACGTATAAAAAGGGACACACAGCCACATTGGTACGATGAAGAAATTAAAAATGCATGCTTGAAAAGAGATAATTATAAAAAAATCAAATCAGTGGGATTCATATAAACTGTAACGGAATAAAACAAATAATTTAATAAAACAACACAAAAGAAATTACTTCAATAATGCCGTCAAGGATAAGAAAGACCAGAGTACGCTTTGGAAAAATATTAAAGATATTACTAACGATAATGGTACTAACGGGAATATCAGATTGCCTAGTTCCATAACAATAGATGGTAATATAATAACTGGGAAAAATAATATTTTAAATGCAATCAATGATCATTTTACCAATATTTCTGATTTCCTAAACAAATCCAAATTCAAAACAGAAAATTTCAAATCACTTGAAGAACAACTGAACAAAAAATTTCAAGGGCATACTTTTATTGTTGATGAAATCAGCCCATTCCAAGTAAAACTACTTATTGATAAACTGAATGTAAACAAGTCAACAGGAAATGATGGAATTGGGCCGCGTATTCTTAAAGCCTGTGGTGACTATTTAAGCATAGCTATATCTTCTATAATAAAAAATTCCATTAAAAATGGCATTTTTCCTGATAAACTTAATATATGTACTTCCAATTTACAAAAATGGACCAAAAAAAGATCCAAATAATTATAGACCTATTTCAATTTTGTCAACCATATCAAAAATGTTTGAAAAGCATATTGCATCACAATTACACAGTTATATATACGAAACTAATATCATTCATGAAAGTCAGTCGGGTTTCAGAAAAAAATATTCTTGTCAAACAGCTCTAATACGACTCATAGAATCCTTCCTTAATGATTTAGATGAGGGTTGCTTGATAGGCACAGTATTTTTAGACCTTAAGAAGGCATTTGATTTGGTAGATCACAACATATTGTTGCATAAGTTAAAATTGTACAAATTTTCAAACACCTAAATTAAAGTCTTCAAATCATATCTTGAAAATAGAACACAGTTTATCAAATATGGAAATAGTCATTCAAATAGTGGAACAGTGAAATCAGGGGTCCCTCAAGGGTCTATATTAGGCCCTTTACTTTTCATTTTCTATGTTAATGATATGCCATTTAGTACGACACTCTAACATAGACATGAATGCTGACGATACAACTATGCATGCATCAAATAAAAAAATGAAGTGATTCAGAGAACTCTGCAATGTGATGTTGATAATATAAGCAAATGGTGTAAATTAAACAACATGGCAATAAATCCGGAAAAGACCACTTACATGGTAATAGGGTCAGAAAATAAATTAAAATCAAAACCTTCTTTAGATATAAATATAGAAGGTACATGCCTAAGTCAAACGAAATCACAGAAATTATTAAGTATTTACTTAGATTAAAACTTAAAATGGAATGTTCAAATAAAGCACGTCTGTAAAAAATTACAAAAACAAATTGCTCTCTTAAAGCGTATATCATACTTTTTATCCGCTGAAACGAAAGAAATGTTTTACAATGCTTATATTTTACCTTGTTTTGATTATTGTTGTATTATATGGAGTACTTGTAATAAAACTTAATTTGAAAAAGTGAATAAACTGCAGAAACGCGCAGCAAAGATAATATTGTGTAAACCAGTTAAAACGCCTTCTTTACAGCTTTTCCTTAAATTAAACTGGTTAACTTTTGAAAATAGATGCACGTATCATACAGCATTATTAGTATTTAAATCTATACAAGGATTGACTCCTTCCTACATTTCAGATATCATAGTGTTCTCGAAAAATGAAACGTATACACTTAGATCAACTACAAATAGAAACATAATACATGTAAGATCTAATACAAAATATGTTAAAAGAACTTTTAGAAATAATGCAATGCAAGTATGGAATCATTTACCTTTATATATTAAAGAGTCTTCGTCTCTATATGCTTTTAAAAGAAATATGAAAAAATATTTGCTTGATATACAATTTAAATAAATCTGATGTATGCATGTGTCTGCCAATTTGAATGGTTGTTGTTTATGTTGTTTTTGATATGTGTGTACATATTTGTGAATTTCATTATCTTGTTTAATTGAAGGCCATATTGTAAATAAGATTTGTATTTCTTAATATGTTACCTTCATGAAATAAAGTGTTTATTATTATTATTAGTAGTAGTATTATTATGTATCTCTCACATCCCTTATGGAAGAAAATGTTTGATTTTAATTATATAATTATTGTAGGTATGTATTTGCTAAATAATGTCAACTTTAATAGCAAACTTGATACCAGATATTTTCAAAGTGTAAACTACATGGTAAAAGTATTTCATATTTTGCAAGATCAACCAATATACATTTAAGAAAATTTAGGCAAACTTTGAAAACAGCCCCTCATTGTTGTAAATTTTAGGGATATTTTGAATAAGCGTTTTTACATAGGGAAATGGTAAAATAAGTGTTTAAAGTGGGTGGGGTAGGGTTACATTTTTATGCATATTGAAAACCTTTGGTTTAGAAACAATAATTTTGCTCGTTTACTTTGTTACCTGAATGTTATTATTTGTTTCTTAACAATCAGCAATAGTAAAACATTTTTCATAATGATAATATTATAGATTAGAGTTTCCTCATTTCTGGGAAAAAAAACTCTTCTAATGGCAAAGATTTATTTTAGAAAGATATCCATAACCCATCAACCACACGGTAAATTTTGTTTAAATTTTGCATACAGGTGACATTAAAGGCATATAACTGTCCTATGTTGTCAATTTTACAGTTCCTTATAGTGCCCATTAGGGGTGTTCTACCTTAAATACAACAAACAACTTCCTTTTTATATAAGTTTTTCATAAAAGTACTAAATTTGATAAGATCTTCGATCGAATTTAACCCAAGTTAATTTGTTTTTTTATATATTTTATCTTCTTGCGGGGAAACAGATGTAATTGAAAAATTGGACATATTCAGAAAGAAAATGTCTAAAATATATTAAATATTCTTCTTTAGCATGTTTTATCAGAATTGACATAATCATTAAGTTAATTGCTGGACCATTGCCATGTTCAGCAATGACCCCATGCACGTACGAAAAGTATACTTCAGAAAGACAGTGTGCACAGTGTTTTGATCCAGCACATATTATGTAACTTTTTCCTGTTTTACTATAATATTAATGTAGCACATATGCGCAAAAACAAAATATAATTATTCTTCTATTTAAATCATAAATGTAAGCTGTTGGTTGTTTGATCACACCTATAGCAGACTAGGTTTATCTTTATTAGTTTGTGTGCAAAACTTATTCGATAGTAATAACACATGCAAAGAGAACATAAGCTTATTGACTTTCATTAAAGATCGGAAACACATTTTATGCTATCCCTAAATAGATCTTCTCATTCAATTTACTCTGAGTGGTAGAGTTCCGCATAATAATTATGCTGTAATAAATACTTATTTGACCCATTTTTTACTCAGTCTCAATTACCTTACATCATGATTTTATATTCTCCAGTAGATAGGGAGCGTTGAAGACCGGAGACCATTCATTAGTAGACCGATCAACCGCAAATTTTCGGCCCTTTCCGCCAATCTTCGGATATTGATCCGAAGACTGACGGAAATTACCGAAATGTCGGAAATCTGCGAGGTGTCCCGAATAATTCGCACAATCTCGGATGTATTTAATTTATGAAGGTGAAGGTCATATGATGAGAGGAAAATGGCCGAGCTACAATTTGAAGCTCCGTTGGCCAGTTTTGAAACTGAAGAATGGAATGATTTTAACGATTTTCAAACAGCTATGAATGCAGAATGTAAGAATAATGAAAAAAATGTTGAAGACACTAGTGAAAAGACTGATCCAGCGTCAGATAATTTTGGTGTAGGTGAAACATTCTCCGGCTCTTTGCAAGATCTTGTCAAATCTTTGGACGAAAAAATAACCAACTGTTTTTGTAATTATGATACAAATGTGGAGAAAATTGCACCAGTTCAGCTGAGGACTAAAGATGATCTTACTACTGATTGTCCGTATGTATTAATAGTTGATAGTTATGATTTGTGTGAGTCATCATGAAGTCATCATGCAAATATAAATTTTTTTGATTAAAACTAAAAGATTGCCTCCAGAATATAACAGAAAATCTATTAATGTACTAAAATGGGGAAGTCAAATGCCTTGACCACAAAGTTGGCCCAGGCCTAGGCTTGGCCGGCTATAGCTTAAGATATTTCAGCGAACAGGTTTTATAGTACTGCTAGACGTGTTCGCTGAAGCCAATCCCGTATCTAAAGTCAACCAGTACCGTGACATATTTATGTCATACTGTAATTCAATAAATCTGTGTGATCAGGACAAAAACTATTTTAATACAGGTAATTAGATATATTTGGGACACTTCAGTCTATATTTTTGAACACAGAACGTTTGATTGATGAAATAATCAGTGTTCCCATTTACGCACATATGTGCGTATTTTACGCATAAATGCCAAATTTTCACGTACAGAAATTTAGGCAAGAGGGTAAAAATACGAAAGTCGGAAACTTAATCATGTTTAATTCAAAAATTATTATTTTGAGCAATTTCTCAAACAAAAATCACTTAAAGTGCATTGAAATTGATGAAATGTAAGAAAATCTCCAAATTCGCAATGAAGTTTACAGACCCCCCACTGGGAATTATTGCCGTAAATTACAAATTTGAAATTTTTGTTTTATGATGCCTGTAAGAATAGCCGATGAAAACAATCTTGAAATATTAAAAAATATTAATTCTAATATAATTGTAATCAGCAACAACTGGAATTGTGAATGTTTCTGCAGAAAACAGACACATTTTCATTTGTCACATATTTTCGCGATGCCAATTTTGTTATCCAAAAAGGAAGCTTTGTTTTGTTCAAAGGTGTGTAGTAACGATTTATATGCTGTTGATAAATTAAAATAACTTAAATAATGGTTACATTAATTGAGATTGAGGTATATGCCAGTATGTGTTGGTCACAATGAATTTTACTTAAAGGGGGTGGGGAGTGGGTGAAGTGAATCTTGAAGAAAATAGATTAGTTGTCTGATGTATGGTTTTGGAATTATCCTTTAATTTCATATAATTATTGTACAAATTTATGAACCCCCTAAATTTTTTATTTCAAAGGTGAGGGGTAAAAATACCCACAATGAAAAATAGAAGTGGGAACACTGATAATGTCTGTTAACTGTGGGTTTACATTTCATAAAATTATCATGTGACTAGCAAGAATTTAGGTTCGGATACCTTTGCATGACATTTGGTGACCTGTGACCCAGATGCTATTTTTAATTGAAAACATGGCTTTGCAATTATGAATAAAGGTGTATTTATTCAATAACAGACATTGTACCAAAAACATGATGGATTTATACTTTTTTGAGTGATGATTCATGACTTATTTGTTTGTTTTTATTTAAAATTGTACACTTACTAAAAATAGTGTATGGTCCTTTACTAAAAATAGATGCTAGAATTCCCAAAACTTAAAGTCCCGCGAGATTTCATTTGAAAGCAGACTCCATATTGGTATATTTCCCTATTAAATACTTGGGTACACAATGTCATTGAAGTTTCATTTAAAAACAAATCATGAATTGATTCAAAATTGATTTGTTTATCAAATGGTATGTTTATTTGAGCCAAATTTGATTAATAAGGGTGATTTTATAGGTTTTTATGTACTGTACACAAACTGCCAAAATTCTGGTAGCCTTTCCAAATAGGGTTGACCCATAACTTTACTGTCACACAACGTCAAAATAAAAGCGACACATAAAGTTATGGAAGCCAGAACTAGCTCGGCTATGGACTACATATCTGTATTTAGAAGGAAATAAAATAAAAAAATGTGTACTATCTATCTATATTTCTATCTTCCATTTTCTTCCATTAATCAATTTAATGTCAAAAGATAGAAAAGTATATATATACATTTTTAAGTGTTTTTATGCCACCGCAGCATCTGCGATGCGGTGGCATATAGCGATTCACCTGTGTGTGTGTTTGTTTGTGTGTGTGTGTGTCTGTGTGTGTGTGTGTTATATAGATTATATAGTGAACTTAAAAAATCTTCTTGTGAAAAACCACTTGTCCAATTTCAACCAAACTTGGCAGGATTGATCCTTGGGTGAAGGCCTTCCAAAGTTGTTTAAAGAATTTCATTCCATGCAGAATTCTGGTTCCATGGCAACCAAAAGGAATTATAAGAATAAATTTAAAAAATCTTCTTGTAAAGACCCAAAAGGCCTAGAACTTAGATATTTTGCATAAGGCATTGTCTGGTAGACCTCTACCAAAATTGTTCAAATTATAGCCCTGGGGTCCAAATCGGCCCCGCCCCAGGGGTCATTGATTTTCACTATATGTACATATAATAAAAACTTAAAATACCTTCTTGTCTGAAGGTACCAGGCTTAGAGGTTTGATATTTGGTATGTGTTATTATCTATAGGTACTCTACCAAAGTTGTTCAAATTTTGCCTCTAGTGTCAAAATTAGCCCTGCCCCGGGGGTCATAGGTTTTCCTCATATGTTTATAGTAAAAACTTAAAAAATCATCTTCTCTAAATTGACAAAGGCTAGAGGTTAGATATTTTGCATGAAACATTGTGTAGTGAACCTCTAGCAAGATTAAACAAATTATAGCCCTGGGGTCAAAATTGGACCCATCCCCGGGGGTCATTGATTTTCACTATGTACATATAGTAAAAAATTAAAAAATCTTATTGTCTTAAGGTACAAGGCTTAGAGCTATGATATTTGGTATATGATATCATCTATAGGTACTCTACCAAAGTTGTTCAAATTTTGCCACTAGTGTCAAAACTAGCCCTGCCCCGGGGCCATAGGTTTTCCTTACATGTATATAGTAAAAACTTTAAAAAATCATCTTCTGGAATTGACAAAGGCTAGAGGTGAGACATTTTGCAGTAAACATTGTGTAGTGAACTTTTAGCAAGATTATTCAAATTAAAGCCCTGGGGTCAAAACAAAAAAAATGTGTTCCTACATTACTATTTTAGTGTTGTATTTATGCGGTGGCATAGCATTTTTTACAAATGCAATCTTGTTTTTAAACTTAAAGTAGCATGCTTCAAAAAGATAACAGAAAATCTACTGTTGTACTATAATATGGGGGATGTCATAGTCATACTCAAAGGCCTTAGCATAGTTCTACATGATACTGCTTTAAAATCGTTTACGATCACTCTAAGCCAGTATACATTGTATACAGTTGTAAGAGACAGCTATGAGATAAAACGGAATCCGGGAACCAGTCCCTAGCTCTTATTGAATAGATCCTTTGGTTCTTTTAAATGCCCAGTGTATTGCACTGATACATGCAAGGATAACCTGGATTTCTTACCAGTACACCTGTAGGTACCGTCCATAGGTGAAAAATCCCAAGGTTATAAACCAGGATCGAACCCAGGACCTCAGGAGTGATAATCAGTGGTCTAACCAACTGAGCTATCGCGCCACCACAATGTAACTTAATGTATGGCCATATAGTTACTGGATAATCTTTACATAAAAGAGATAAATAAAGAGTTCAATATTTCTTAACATGGGGCAGGGCAACACAAAATAGTTCTTTTCAAATATTGTAAAGTTTACTGTTTGTACATTGAAATAAATATCTTTAGTTAGATTATATTTTTTTGTATATCATATGTACATTATCATTTCCGTTATTGAAACCAATATAAATTAATTTTATTTCAATTTGAATAAACTCTAAACCCAACATGAATGAATAATATGACAACTGCGCCATGTTTCAGTCAAATTTGAAATGGACTGGAGGGCAGAGAACTCTCAACATGGGTATGACTAAAAGCAACAGGCGCAAAGTGTGCCACAGAAATATTTTTTAGAAAAACAGGCACAACCTATGCTCTTTTATGAAAATAATGGTGTTTTAAGTTATAAAACAGATTAAGGCTATTACTTTTTTGATATTTCGGTTTACTGACCTGCCAACTCCGAATTTTGGGAAAAAATTCTGTGTTGTCTTGAAATACGCCGCTTATGAAATTAAGATATTAATATTCTATGGGGATTTATATGTCTGACCCATTAGACTTGTCAAAGAAACGTCGAGAACATTTTTTAATGGAGTATATGAAAGAATGTCTGTTAAATGGGTCAAGCCATGTCTGTTAAATGGGTCAAGCCGTTCCCACTGACTTATAATTAGGCTTCGATCAAATTTCATCTATGCATGTATATGTGTAAAAAAATTATTGTAAGGCCCAAATGCGTAAAAATGTCTGAGAAAATAACTACAAAAAAACCAGCAAATTACTCAAGCAGTTACATTCAAGGACAGCTCGAGATAAATCTGATGCAATGATAGTAATTTAGATAAGAAGTGATCACTATTTTCAGATTTAACAAAAAGTCTTTAAAAGCCGATTGAATACGGGTTTTCAAACAAACAAAATAAAAAAATGCACTTACTCTTAATAGTTTGTCAATAATTGACCCGCTAATTATCCGATAAAAATATTTTCAACTTGGGCAATAATTGAACATTGACAGTTTTTTTTTTAACTTTTGATCTGTGCAAGTCAGCTGAGTTTCGGCACCTTTGATGATTCAGATTACACAGCAGTCAAAGATTGACCATTCTTTTGAAGGGCTGGTTTGCCACTTGTGAGAAGTCATCGTGTGTAGTTTTAAACAATGGCTATGTGATATTTTATTAATTTGTGAATGTGAATGCTCTTTTGTTTTCAGAGCAAATGTTTTTTGTGTATTTAGACAATGTGTGGAATAGACAATCGGCGATGTATTTCATTCCATTTCTCTAGTAAGTTAACTATGTATATGCACCACATTTATCACAGTCCGGAAAAGAAGATATGCTTACGGAATATCTTACCTTCAAGGCATTAAGATATGAAAACTGTGAATGCTACATTAGTCACATATTTAATCAAATTCAGTTTAATTGCAATTTAACATGCAAGATTCATAGCACTAGAGGCTTTCT